ATAATAAAATTTATTCTCAAAGCAGTTTAGAAGATCGGATTAATCCACTTCTGTCGTAAAAACAAACATATCAAAAAAAGATCGGTACACTTGATACAAAAAACGATATTTATCATCCATACAGCAGTCCGGCCCTGGCACCTTCAGACTTCATTCTAATGGCCATTAGTTTCTTTTAGGATTTACATGACCTCATACAGAAGATGGGCTCTAGCTTTAAGAAACTGTAGCAAACTATTCTTATATGCGAAGACTAAAGAAAATAAAGAAGAATACGAAAGGCGCACATATTTATATATTTTCGGACGATCAGGTACCTATCTAGGCACTAAATGCGTATGCCTCTAGCTCTAAAATCTGGGAATGATTAAACTGCCTAATGATCTTAGGAGAACAAATCCAGTATACCTTGGGTTCCTGATATAAAGGAAAAAAGTAGCAGACCATAAGCCAAAGTACGGACAGCCCTATCTCTCCTGGGTCCGTAACCTCAAGAAAACATACCGTAAACTCGGCCAAGAATATGCTAAAGGAAAAGCTGAAAAACGGGTTGAGAAAGAAAAACGCACTGGACAAAAGCGGCAGGTATGAAGCCAGCTAAAAGATTTATAAATCTCTCACGAAGAAAGGCGAACATGCATCTCTCTCTTTCACACACTCTCTCTCTCTCTCTCTCTCTCTCTCTCTCTCTCACTCTCTTTCTCTTTCTCTCCCAGCAGGCAAGATTTGAAGAAATAAAAAAGCAAAGCACAGACAGAAACGTGTCAACCAGAAACATCGGCACACATCCTTTGAGAATGGTAAGCAGTAAGCACTAGCATGGTAACATGGATACAGGATAGCACCATGTACTGTAGTGCTTAGTTCTGTAGGAAAAAGCGCACATTCCAAGATGTGAAATGTAATCATAGATGTGTCACAATAGACCTAAAACACAACCCGAAAATAAAGACCAGAATGATAAAAAAAACCGCCAAATTTTACTGAGAATATCAAGACCTCATGGCTCTAAACCTCAGAGATGTCTGACATGGACGAATTAATTTAATAACCAAATTTTATCGTACAAGAAATTTGATTTAAATACGACCCATAAATATTCATTAATAGCGAGAATAATAAATATACAGGTTTTATTTTATAAGGTACGAACAAAACGACAGCCTGGGTAATTTATTTTGGATAAGTATTTTGTTTTTAATATAATTTTGATTAAGCAAATACACGACATTATTGCCAACCAGTTCTATAACGACACATTTGTTATCTGTTCAGATAAGACGAATCACATTGTAATTTAGTTTAATTACGCGTGGTATTGGGGCTGCGGCTGTTTTTATTACACATTTAACTGCGTCTATAATAACAAAAATGACATCGTAAATTAAATCTGGCGGAAGAGTTATTTAGTGTCGCATTTAGCATTCGCTTTATATTGTCGATTTATTTTTACATCAAACACTTCTAACCGATTGCGCATATGTTTCTACTGTTTCGGTGATTTTCAAAATAAATTAAACATTACTTTAATTTTGCTTTGTTACAGCCAATACTACTCCGAGATTCTCTGTTTTACTAATTCGCGATTTAATTTATCATAATTTTTTACTTCAAACACTTCTACGAGATTGTGTGTATGTTTCTAAATTTCAGCGAGTTATTTAAAAATGGGTTATGTTTTAGATCAAGCACTTCAACGAGAGTTTGTTTTTATTGTTTCCATCATTTTCTTATTTACTTAAAAATAATTTGTTACATCAAGCACTTCTACGAAATTTTATGTGTCTTTAGGTTTCCACTATATCATAATTAATTAAACATAACTTTTTACTTCAAACACTTCTACGAGATTCTGTGTATGTGTCTACAATTTCAGCGAGTTATTTAAAAAATGGGTTATTTTTTAGATCAAGCACTTCAACGAGAGTTTGTTTTTATTGTTTCCATCATTTTCTTATTTACTTAAAAATAATTTTTTACATCAAGCCCTTATAGGATATTTTGTGGATTTTTATGTTTCCACCATTTTCATAATTAATCAAACATAATTTTTTACTTCAAACACTACTTCGAGATTCTGTGTACATTTCTACAGTTTTGATCATTTTCATATTTAATTAATCACAAATTATATTTAATTTTCTTGCATCCAATATTCTATGATATTCTTTGGGTTTCCTTTTGTTCCTGTTTCCTTCATGTTCATAATTAATTAACTATTTTTTTACATCACCCGCTTCTACGAGATTCTATATAGGTTTTTACTCTTTCGGCTGTTTGTAATTTTGTTAATAAATTCCTCCTTTAATGAATGAAAACTATTATTCTTTCAACCTAGAAATAACTCAATTAAATATATTTTATTTTATGGTATATTATCTTTGAGATAGTTTATGTGTATTTTGAATTCGCAAACTTTCGCAGTTAAATTTAAGGCTACCAAAGGATTAAAAAGCGATTGTAAAATATGCAACTGTTTTATTTAAGAGTTATTCTTATTTATAAATTTTAGAGTTTGAAAACTGATTTGTTTTCATAGAAAACGTTTGGAAGAAAGAAGTTTTGACGCAAATAAACATTTTTTACACAGAACAAAATTGATCCCATAAGATTACGAGTTTTAAAAATGTTTCAACTAATCCAGAGAGAAACAAGCGTTCTGGAGTGTCTAGCCTTGAACTTGCAATTCGCCAACTCCTATTTGAAGACATCTTTTATGTAAATTCTCTGTGAAAAACTACCCTCCCAAATAGAACACCCAACATCAAGAATTTGCGGTGTGTTCGAATGGTGTAAATTGGGCAGCAAAGAGAAAAATTCGAGCTCGAACAAAAAAAAAACGCTTCTCCTGAAAGTTGGATTTTTTCACCTTTTGGTAGTTTTCTCCAAAACCCTTTATAATATTGAAACGATTGTTTTTTTTATTATTTGCAAATCAATAAAGCTATAACAAGCAAAAATCATAGCGAGTTATTTATATAAAAAAATATGCATTAAAAACACCCAGGAGTGAATAAATAAATTTCTTTGTATAAAAAAAAAAATAAAATTGTACTCAAATTTAGGTTGTTGCCAAAAATTAACGATTCACTACTTTTTAAACAATGAACTACAAATTCAAAGTGTAAGACAAATAAAACAAACAAAAAGTTGGTTTTAATAGACCAAAAACATTTTGAGAAAAAAATACCGGAAAACGGCAACCTTTTACCCTTTCTTTGAACAACTAAATGACCTTGAACAATTGTCTAAGCCACTAAACTAGGCAAGGATAATGAGATTAGGATTTTAATAATTTTTCTTTTAATTTAAATTGACAATTTAAAAAATACTCATTAACAAGTCCATAAGGCTTTGAACGGACGCTACCCCCCCTGAAAGCTGTGAAAAATATTAAGTGCCGAACGAAAAAGAACTTATGTTTTTTGGGACTTCAATTTTTACGTCATCAATCCATTCAAATATGTTTTGATCATCTTCATAATTAATTAAACGTTAATTTTATTTTATTTCGTTATATTCAAAACTTCTATAAAATTCTGTGTATATTTCTTCTGTTTAGATCATTTGCATATATAATTAAATATAATTTTTATTTATTTTCTTCATCATGCCCTCGTACAAGATTCTGTCGATAAATATTTCTAATTTTTCCATCTTTTCATAATCAATTAACGTTATTATTTCAAAATTAATTAATTAGATCAAACACTACTACCAGAATCTGTATAATTTCTACTGTTTCAATCGTTTTCATAATTAACTAAACATAAATTTTATCCTGTATTGAAAATGAAATATAAAATATAAAATTTTACAATTAAAGAAATTTTTTGTATAAATCATATCTACGAGATTCTTTTTATGTTTCTACAGTTTCAGTCATTTTCATTAATTTAATTGTTTTATACCCTAAATTATACGAGATTCAGTATATGTTTCTACTCTTGCGGCTTTTTAAATAATCGATTAAACATAAATTTTATTCTATTTTGTTATATCCAACACTTCAATGAAATTCTACATTTATTTATGTGTTCCAATAATTAACCAATTAATTAAACACAAATTTTATTTTATTCATTCTAAATCTGTAACGCGATTCTGTTTATATTTCTACGATTTTGATCCCTTTTATAATTAATTTAGCCTACAGTTTTTGCAATAAACAATTCTACGAGATTATGTGTGTATTTCTAATGTTTCGATCATTTTAATAATTAATTAAACGTAATTATTCTTTTATTTCCTTGCATCTAACCCTTCTACGAGATTACGTGTAATTTCTACTGTTTCCATTATTTTAGTAATTAATTAAGCATTAATTTTATTTTGTTAAATCCAACACTTCCAGAAAATGCTGCATGCACATATTTAATGTTAAAATTTTGTGATCATTGTTATTACTTCATATCAGCATTTGCACATTGGTTGTTTCATGGAATTTTTATATCACTAATTTCTACGAGATTCTATGTATGATTCTACAATGTCAGTCATTTTCATAATTAAATAAACAGGTAACATAATGTAAGTCCTTTTTAAATCAATGAAAATTTTTTTAAAAATAAATTTGATTAACGTCCTTAAGGATTTCACAGTGGCTTTTTTACGTCATCAACCCACTAAAATTTATTACATCAAAAAATGGAAATGATAAATGGTCAGTACTGACAAACCGTTAGAATTTAAAAGAAAAAGTCATCTGGCAATTTTTATTTAGAATTGAATTTAGACAGGACTCTTCAGCGGTGTTAAAATTATTATAGAAAGAATTAAAAATACCCAAAATTTTAAAATAAATACTAATTATATGATGTGACCAAATTTAAGAAAGTCAAAACGTCAACGAGAGTAAAATAAACCTCCAAAAGCTTAAAATATTCCTAATTTGATTTTTTGTTTAATGGGAACTTTTGTCTTTGCGATTCTCTACGACATTCGAACCTTTTGGTACATCTAAAAAAATTTTTTAGAGGCAATTAAACATTTTTACGTACGTGTAAATCCCGTTTGAGGTGTACCATGACGATACTCCACCACGCTACAAGCACTGACACAGAATAACAAGGCAATCAACGTGCTTGTGTTTGGTAACTTTTTTGATTTCCCCTCCTCGGAGTTCCCGCTTGCATTGGACGTTGAAAAGCGTGGGGATAACTTTTCGCCTGCCCCCCCACCTGTGGCAACTATTCAATTTTAAGCCCTATGCATATACCATATTTGCCGGCTTGATTTGATGATGTACTCAAATCGCGGCAAAATAACTAAATATGAAAAACTTACTTCTTTTACTTTAAACGTACTTCTTTTAAAAACTGGTCCTTTTGCAAAACGAAGCAAAAATTTATTTATTTAAAAAGTTGTGTACAAACAAATCAATATAAATCACTAAACTAACAATTAAGCAAACCCTTCAAAAACCACTTTAAATTCATTTACCAAGAAAAGAAACATAGAAATAGCTTCAAAAATGAAGTGATGCAGTTCAAAAATAAGGTTAAAGATGTAGTAATAAACTTGGACAAGAAATTAACCTCACCTACAACGCATAACCAAAAATAAAATATCACCAATAGCCACAAGAAGAGCCTGAGGTGGCGAATGAAAATGGCATGGCTACACATGGCAATAAGAAGACCTAAGATTCAGACATCCTATGGCTCATTAATCTGGAGGATTAAAGTTTGACAAAAGACTAGTCTGCTGACTACAGAGGTATATGTACTGAGGATAGCAGAAATAAACCAGAAAAGATATTGCCAGAACGAAGGAGAAGCATTGGAACATGTGTTGAACATGTTGGTTTGAAGGCCTATGCAAGCTGAGATTCTTTCTATTGAGAGAAGTCTTAAGTATGCACACGGCAGCCCTTAAAAAATATTTTGGGACCTGGTAAAATGCTTTAAGATTAACAAAGAGCTCTAGACAATGATGGAGTTTGCACAATAGGCCAATATTTGTTGCACTGCGCAAGATTGTAAACAGGTGAAATTCTTGTAACCAAAACCTTTGGGTCTAAAATCAATGAACAAACCAGATCAATTATGTTCTGTGCAAGTATAAAACATGACCAGTCAAACTTATTAGGGAAGTACACCTCTGTCGTTCAGGCTAAATCCTCATAAGATCACACAGTCAAGTAGCCCTAAAAACATATGTAAAAAGGTCACGCCCAATAGTCTACAAATGTATCCCAAATCTCCAAAACTAGGAAAACATAGCAACCTGGAAATAAGGGTGTGGATGAACTCTACAGGTTCACACAGTATACATGATTATAGAACCCTCATCAAAATTGGCAAACAGTGCTGCAATTAGTCAACTCAGGGGAGTGTCACTAGCTTCTGAGAAAACACCTACAAAAGGGTATATTCAATTGTGACCCCATTTTTAGGTTATGTAATGAAGAGGAAGGAATTGCTACCTGTATCATTTTCATAGATGAAGCAACCAATCAATGGAGAAATTTGGGACAGCTCAAAAAGGCAAAAAACATTTAGGTGCTCATCCAGAGGATTAAAGAAGCACAAGAAATGGGCCAAATCTTCATAAAGAAGGAAACGGGTGGACAAAGAGGCCTTCTTTAAACAATTCAGAAGCTAAGTTCAACAATATATTGTTACAAAATAAGAGTTTTGTGTTGGCTGAATAGGGAAGGAAATGTTTAAATCAGCATACAAAAAAATAAAAAAATAACAAAAATAAATTAATATTATGCATTGTAGTATGGAAAAGTCTCACCATTCTCAAATCGATTGACAAAACTTGATTTTTTCTTTCTTTTGTATGCTATTCCTTAAAGATAAAAGGTCAAGTATCAGAATAACTGGAAGGCTGATTAAGTTATCTCAGATGGAAATTAATTTAATAAAATTTCTTATGAGGATTTTTTTGGCAGAAATAAGTCACTAAGTTTGACTATCTGGAAAGAAAAATGGACGAGTCATACAGAGAACAAACTAATAGTAATGTTCAAGCATGGAAATTTTCAATTTGCAAATATACACTAGAGGAAACTGTACTTTCACATGGCCAGTGAACACCAACCTGTCAACCATGTGAACAGCTATTTCAATTCAACTATACAGCATATTTTTGTAGACAGTGGATGCTATTTACAAGAAAGAGTGATGGATTGGGGTGGCATGAGGACAATTGGTAAATGTTTCCACATAACTTTTCTAATCGAAGGAATCAATGGCAAAAGGACAAATATATTTATTGCAATTTTTTAGGTCTGTGAGATGGTGAACCTGATCACCTTGATATACTTTTCTGGTTATTCAGATATCGTGAGATGCGGTCGGGAGTGATGTAGGTTTCAGAAAAACATTTTCTTTATCGTGCCAACGTTTCGATCTTTTATTGAGATCATCTTCAGGCCTCAAAGTGTTTGTCTTCTGTGTAATTGTGCCATCCTTGCGTGTCGTGTTGAGAGTGCCCATGCCGTGCTGAAGATGATCTCAATAAAAGATCGAAACGTTGGCACGATAAAGAAAATGTTTTTCTGAAACCTACATCACACCCGACCGCATCTCACGATATCTGAATAACTATCGATTAACGGTCACTAATCTCTACACAATACTTTTCTGGTTTGATGCTTTCTGAAATTTCATTATTTTTGTTGGTAGGTACCAAACAAGAGACAATCAAGACAATAAAGTATAATCAACATTAAAATTGTGTACATTGTTCCAGTTGCCATCTTTTATTCTTTTAGTAATTAACAAGTCAAAAGCTGATTATTTATTATTTTATTTACTATTACTCAAGTTTTGTACATTGCAGATGAACATTACAATTTTTTTTAAATTCTGGTTCTTTATTTAGAAAGCCTTTGTGTCTTGTTTTGATCGAAACCAAATGATTGATGAAGACTGCAGAATTTTTAACTTTTTTAAAGTGAATCACCTTTATCTTGAGATGTTTTACAGTAATTTTTTTTCTGGCCATAAATTTGACTATAAAATTTATAATGCAGTGCAGAAGATTTTTAACTAAGTCGTATATAAAACTAAACTAATAATAAAATTTTTGAAACTATATAATATACATTTTTTAAATTATATATTTTTTCAATTTTATATGCATATTATATATTTGTTCGGCTGCAGTTTTATTATACTGCCTGATTCTTCAGTTAATTTAAAACCAATAACATCAAAAATGCTTAGGAATTTTCAATTTTCAGAATTATATTTCTTCTTTTGAATGCCATATTGAATAGGTAAAATAAAAAATTAAACCTGAAATGATATAAATAATGAAATAACCTGAAATAATAAAAAAATATATAATGTTATTTAATATAAATGCCTACCGAAAAGAGCCCATAAAATGATAAAATATAAAAACTTTGCCTCGATGTTACCGATGGCAAAATAGTGAATGAATATGTCGAGCATTGGAACAAAAGGTATCAACCTTACCTAAATTAGACAAATTAACAATTATACCATGTCGGTGAGTATTAAAATTATTTAAAATTTAAAATGTACCCTATAAGGACTGTGTGTGACATTCATCGGCTGCAAAATCAGAAAGACCATTGATATCAGCATGCTAACGGTGAAAAGGAACAATGGCAAAATTTTCCATGATATCCAGTGTATGTTTATGAAATCGTTGAGTATGTGCCTGGTCGTCACTGCCATTCCCATGACTGACACTTCTGTAAGATATTATTTAACTAACCTAACACGCAAAGTATAAAATTTTTATGAAATTTTACTTAGTACTAAAACGATGACATCGCAGGTTGGGCTGGGTTTTCCATGTGGGGATGAGACTTTTCCTTTGAAATGTTCTATGTTGTGAGCATACCTGATTAATTTAAGTATATAATATTGTAAAAACACTGAAAATAAAAGCTTCTAGATTTATCAGTGAAATGTTAACTTAGACTTGTGGTTTGCAAGATTTTTTTATCACTAAATTAGGGCTCACAATGGCAGAGTGGCGACAATATGGCAGATCAATTGGCCAGTTCAATCGTAACACACAATGACCCAGAATCCTTTCACAACATCGCAAATTGCCAAAAACATAGATCCACCAGGTTCGTTCATGAATTAGGGAATGCTTTCCAGGACAGAAGCAGAAAAAATTCATCAAAAGACTATTGCAGTAACTAACTGCAAAACTAAAATGTTTTAGGACTAGGTAGAACTGCTAACTGGACACATTGCAGAGGTATAGACTCTGAGTAGAAGAAACAACCTATGTTGATATACCCAGGAAGAAGAAGAAGCAGCAAAATATGTGCTCTGTTGGTATGAACTATGCGAGTTGAGATTCTTCTCCTGGGAGAGGAAAAGCCTAGGCCTAAACAATGCACACAGGAGTGCTTTGGAAACTGATAAAAAAAGCCTTAAGCTTAAGAAAGAGCTCTAGATAATAATGGAGATAGATTAGACACAGTGTACAAGGTCTTAAAGAAGTCAACATATTTTAACCTTAACCTTAACTAATACATTATTTATTTGTACAAGCGATTAAAATGTTTTAAATTTCCAACCTGAGTTAAAGTTTCTCTTACAACTCAGAAGAGGCCATATGTGGTTCAAACACAGATGGCTTTTGTGGTCAAAGCTTTCATGAATGTTGAGATGTATAATAAACATCACTTGATATGTTTCACATAGTGGAAAGTATCATAATGAGCTGATGAGCTGGTAGGCATGCCATCGGACTTGAGAAATTTTCTTGAGTACAAATGTAACTTCCACTAGGGAACCCATAAAAAATCACTTAAAAAAGAATACAGGCAGTACTTTGAAAATAGTGTCAGGTGCATAGATACCATCTGATACCAGGTGATACGGTTATTATATCCGTGTACCATTTTAGCTCCATGCTGGTATGGAAGTGTCTAATAACACTTCTCAATGTCTAAGTTAAATTAAAAGTTGACTAACTTACAAAATAAGGTGTAGCACTAACGCCATCGAATGAGAACATAACTGCAGAGTATGCTGAAAGCAAATTTAATGCTGAATGTGGTAAGCAGGGATCCATCAGAATTATGTTTTGTTACTGGACATTTTTTACAGATTACCTAAAACTATGAGCAAAGTCAAGATTGGCAGACTCTGTCAAAAGAACATCTTTTAAGCGAATGAAGGTCTAAGGCATCGAGTACAGTGCTAAAACAACACCTTGAGAAACTAACCTTGAGATAAGTAGCAATTACAAAAGTCTAAAAATTGTTAAATGATAGTGAACTTTTCAGAGCATGATTAAAATATAGGGTTAATACATATTTGAATTATCAAAATAGAGAGAAAAAGTTGATGAATATTAAGTACCCCATCTTACTTAGTTTTGTTTTATGCATGATAGACTACGTCACTGCCTTACTGGAATATGAATGCATTCAACTTCAGCGGAAGTCAGGATTAGATGATATAACTTAGATCTATGATAGTCAAAAGTTTTTACCTCATTCTTAAAGTACAAACAGGTGCCATGGCACTTATCATCAAAAATGAAATCGCTTCTATTTCTCGTAGTGTAGTCTGTCTTCCGAACATAGCGACTACACCTAACATAAACATGAACAAAAACGGTAAATGTAGACAATTTTAAACTAAACAGTCTAAATTAGATTCATGTACAAACCAGCAACTATTCCACATATAAAAGATGGTTTGACTGGCATGTTGTTGAAGTGTTCGACTCTTGACAAAACTCTGTACAGCAAGCCATCTCTGGACATTGCACACACAACTCTTGTCAGGGAAAACATGTCGATAAAGAGACTACAAAATTTTAGAAAATATGTAAAATAATAATAAAGTTTTGACTGTTAGTTTACCTATTGTACACAAAGCAAGTGACACCGATGAGTGGTATGAATGTCAGCCCATTTAATTTCAAATATATCAGAATTGACTGAATTGAATTTGAACTTTCCTGGAATATTTCTTTATAATTTATTTTCAAAATTTGTATTTAAAAATGTCTCACAATTTCTCTGTAGTTCCATACGAGTGTTATCAACAGGGAAAAAACAGAAAAAAGGATAAGGCCAAAAATAAAAGACAACACATGTGCTTTAGGAAGAGTTTTGCTTGGGTTTATTGCCTCCTCACCTAGATAAAACATTAACTATTATTAAATTTTTAAAAATAAATATTAATATCTTGCCTAAAAAAACTAATGTAAGAATTGTTGAGTAGATAACACTAGTGCTTAAAAATGAATTAGTTAGCACAATCAAATGGTTCAATTTGAATGGGATCCAGTTGTTAAAGTCAATGTAACCGATGAACAAAATTGTCAGACATATCAGACAGCACTGGTTTATAAAGTACAACGCTGAATTCAGAAGTTTTGTCTCGCTCGTATTTGCCGAAACTATGCCTGCAACAGTGTCTAGTTATTGACATGATATAGACTGACTAACTGTCTCACCGGAGAATATCAGGCTCAAAAATAGCGCAAGAAAGTCTGGAGCGCTGTCCAACAGAAACCTTTTTTCACCTAAGTTCATGAAGTCTTTCATTGTATTGGCCATGTGCCCACTGAAAAATGTGTCGTCCATTATAGAACCAGCGGCTTTCAGTTGTGCTGCAGCACCTTTTAGCAAAATACAGTTTATTTATCAGTTCAATTAATAACTTTTAAAATTTAAAGAGTATAATAGATTAGAATCATACTGTATTTAAGCAATAGCTCAATACGAGATAATAAACAAACTTAAAAATATATACAAACTAAAATTTAAAATGATACTATGTTAGCAAAAGTGATTAATAATATGAATCAACTAAATATAAATTTAAAAACCATAATATTAATTGGTCATAACAAATTTTTTCATACATATTTGTAAAAGATGGAAAATAAGCATAAGTACATATCAGGGCATAGATGGCTACAATAGCTAGGGCATACAGAGTAGAGGGGCACAAGAGGTCGATACATAATTGGCAAAGGATAGTTCAATCAGGATACCCAACATCTCAAACCCTTTACTCATATATCAAACCAAAAAATTAAAACGTACATCCATCGTGTTTTATAAATAAGTCCTTGGTTCAATGGGGATGTATTCCAGGCCAGAGTCATGCAAACAAGTACATGACAGAAACTAACAGCAGAACTGTTCAACCTAGGATTTCTTAGGACTAGAATGGTACTAGGATGCCTGATAGACCACACACTCCAGAGTATGAAGGCCAATACAGGCTGAGATTCCTACTTCTGAGAGAAGAACAGCCAAGGCCTGAAGGTTACTTTGAAAAGTTTTGGGATTTGGTCAAATGTATTAAGATTAACAAAGAGCTCTAGTCATTGATTAAAGTTGAACAAACTACCAATATTGGTAAAAGGGTTAGACTCCTAGTAACCTAAAACTACAGCTCCAAGACCAATGAAGAAACAAGGTTAGGTGTACTCTGTGCAAGCCCATAATAAAAACAATCAAGAAATAGATGGAAATTGTTGCTCTCAGTGTAAACACAAGCTGAGATTAAAAAATAAACTTGAAAGATACACAGAGGAGTTCTTAACAAAGCATTGGGTCTGATAAAGACATTGATGGAGTAATGTCATAACTTATGCGTCGTAATGAGGTGGACTCCTAGTAACCAAAATGTATGGCTTCAAAACTGGAAGGAACCAGACCACGTATACTCTGTGGAAGCAAAAAATATGAACAATCAAACTCATTGGTCTTTCAAGCTAAAATATCTATCAATGCTCGTGTTAAAAGCAAGCTTAAAAAAAAGTTAAACTGACAAAAGAATCCTTATATGATGAGACACCCAAGTAGTCCTAGAAATATTAGTACATAAAAATGCCACATCCAAAATAGTCAATGAATACATCCAAAATCTTCAAAACCTGCAAAAAATAACCTGACAATTTCTTGGGTACCAGGGCATTATGAAATTTTGGATAATGGAGGAGCTGACAAACTGGCCAGAGGAGGATCCACAAGGTCATACATTAGCTCAGTACCAACAGTTGGATAACAAGATCAAACATTGACACCTTCATCTTAGTATGGGTTCACAAAAAAAAGAAGGATAAGAGGACACGATGTGCCAGACATAGTAAACTCATAGTTAAAGAACCCTCACTAAAACTGGCAAACCCATTAGGGAAGTGATAGGGATATAAACTGGCTACATCCATCTGAAAAAACACCTAAAGAACGTGGGTTTATTCAATGAACCCCATTTTTATGTTATGCAATGAGGAGGAAGAAACAGTCACCCACATTATGTTCGATTGCTGCTTAATGGAGATATAAGGTAGCAAGAAGACTGGAGGCGGGATTTTAGTAATCATAGGATTAAATGAATGATCAATTCAATTGAAATGAACAAAGAAACTAGGAAAAATATCAGCCAACACGCTGTAGTGCTTGGGAAATATCAAGCATCCTTTTTGTTACGATCCTCTAAACATTATCATCAACCTCAACTTAAACTGATCCTGAGCAAAACCATTGTAATAAAAACAATACCCTTTATTACTTAAATTATTTTTAAAAAACTTACCAAATCCAGTGGTGAGTATAGTAAACCATCCGGTCATAAATGCTATGAATTCATTTGTAAAACAGTAAGTGAAATGAAAAGTGCCACCAAGGCAAGGCAGGATTGACAGCAACTCAGCAAAGGACCAAACTGAAACACAATTTTGTTTTTTAAATTTAAAACTACAATTGAAATTATTACCCAAAAGCTTACTATTAGGTGATAAAAATATGCCGCAAATGACGAAAGAGTACAGCCCCCCGTCTCCGTATTTTTCCATGTGCGCTGAAAAGCTGTAACATTGGTAGCCTATAAGCGAGCCGGCGCAAAGTATAAAAGCATCTGCTGTACCATAGATACGATTGAAAGGACCGATTTCTCTTACTATTAACAATTTCTTACGCATCATGCGCTTCTGCAACAAACCATGTAATATACAAATCTTTTTTGACCGTCAATGTTGGCAATTTAAATATTAATTCAAGCGATACCAAGAATAATCAAATAAAAATAATTTAAAATAATCTCATCATTTGATTAATCATTTAAATTTTATATTGCAAATAATAATACTATATTTAATTTAATTATAAATTTTACTAGTTTAAAAAGGTCTCATGTCTAAGTCTTTTAATCTTAAATTAGTTGTAAATATACATGTTTAATTATATGCAAGTTATGTGGTGCTTAAACAGTCATTCACATACTTGAAAGCATCATATGGATAAATATTAAAAAAGGACAGGCTGATTTTCATTTTCCTAAAATTCTGATGGAACAAAAACAAGTGATACGTTTTTGTATTTTTTTATTTATTTATCTATTTATTGAAAAGTGTTCTAGTATTAAAAAAAGTTAAATACTGTAGGATTAATTGTGACTTACAAATATTGGCCCAACAACTTCCCAAATCATGTTCCTTCTGCTATTCAGCTGCTAATATTCTAAATATTAAATCATAAATAATATTGCTACAAAAATCATGTGCTTCAAAATGCATTCTGCTTGCCATTTTACACAGAAAATTCCAAAATAGAAATAGTAAAAATTGGTAGTTTTAAACCTACTAATTTATTTTAATGTTTAACAACATTCTCTCTCTCTTTTTTTAGTCTCTCTACACTTCAGGTTTAAATGATAAAATTACACAAATAATAAATACTCAAAAACAAGATAAAAACTGATAGTCGGGTTAGCATTCACACTACACAGGAGTATTTGATATTCCTCATGGTAATCAGGGATATGCTCCTCCATTCATGCAAATAAATTATATTCATACCAGACTTCGTTCATATTACCCCAGAGTACTTGATATTCTTCAGAGTAATTAGATAAGACAAGATAATTTATTGTCCATTATTTTTGTACAATGCTTAAATGAAATATTTATTTTTAATTTATGACATGTATATTTTTTGCTTCTACCATGCAAGATAACATATAACCCAAGCGACTTCCTTTCGACCCAGACCTTCGTACATGTACTGATGGACTGCAGGTTTTACAAGAGAGAAAGGGTTCAGCTTATGCGGCATGTGACCTGCAGCTTTTAAACTTTTTTAAGAAATTAAATTTTAACAAATTTTACCTTTAAACTGTAATATAATCTCTAAGTTTAATGATTTGTGAAAGTGTAACCTAATTATAAAATTAGTTCTTAGTACAATATTATAAACATAATTTAAATTGCAATAATAATAGTTATCTAATAACATATCCCATTATGAAAAACAATTGTTGTTAATGTCAATTGAGTTTATAAATTTGAACAATTCCGGGCTATAGTTTTGCAGTAAGCAGTTGTGGCCATCTATCCCCTCTCAACACTATAGCTTTAATGAGGCATGTCCTTTCTCGGTCGAACATCCAGCAACTGAATAGAATGTGTTCCCATGTTTGTGTACCCCCATTACATGGGCATGTCGCATCATCAATTATGCCAAATCGGGTGAGATATGACCGGTGCTTTCCATGACCTGACAATACCATGGTAGTTTTTGTGAGTATGGCTGATCGGGTCGGGAAGTATTTCCATGTTTCATATCCGTTTGAGGTTTGTCTCCATTCCTGCTCTCATATTTGTACTGATTTCTTTTCCATGTTCTACTTCATATAAGAAAGGGGAATCGCACTGAATATAACTTGCAATTCCACGTCGCTTGCTACATCCTTTGCTAATTGGTCTACTCGTTCGTTTCCCTGATGTCCTGCATGAGCCATTATCCATCTTAAACGTATCCAGTGTCTTGTTGTAGCCCTCATATTATCCAGGACATATAGTCTTGAGCAACCATCAAAATCATAACACCCTTGCCGAAGTAATAAGAACAACGCTGGATAATGTGTGTGTGTGTGTGTGTGTGTAAGTAGTTAAGAAGTTAAATTAAGAAAAAGATAGATGAATGTTTTGTTATAGACTATGGACAGTGTAATGGTTACTTTTTAAATTGAGTAATGCAGTTGTTATATTTATGAAATAATTAATTAAAACTCTTAATGCTATTACATGTTGTAGGGTTAGAAACTTCATTTGTTAATTGCTGTCAGTTTTGACCATACATGGATGTCTATTTTGGCATCAATAATCATCAAAATCATTAAAAAGAAAATGAGTTTGTCGGTTGTCTACTTCCTGAAAAGTAACCCAAGAGATACAAAAAGCCAAAAACCGAAAAAGAAGCAATTGTCTAATGTAAAATAAGTCATAATTTTAATACATAAAATTTATATTATACTGTTAAAACAATAATTTAAGTGTTAAGATAGTTGACATGCAATAGTTAATTTGTGTATAGTTAATTTGGGAATTAAATGATTTGATTTGATGTTGGTCAAAGAAAAAAAGGTTGAACATTTTGTTGAATTTTTAAAAATATAGTAGATAATTATTATTTTCTAGTTTAATTAAGCTTAATATGCACTTTTGTTTAAAGAGATTATCATATTATTTTGAGATTGACAAATCGACAGGGAGATTTGACGGGCCAGCTAATGCCAGCACTGCAGCAGATGAAAGTGCCGGAGGTACTGCGAGTCAGTCAGTGCTTTGAAGTACTGTACTTCGGTTGTGTTTTCCGATATGGCCGAAGTTGAAAGCTTGGCCCATTTGGCATTTTTCTTTATTTAGGACTTGGGGAAAAAAGCCCCCCAATCGGGGTGAAATACACGAAATTAGACCCGATGAGATGTTAACCGGCGACGGCTGCAGAAACCGACTGTACACTCTCGAAGTGGTTAAATACTATAGGTAAGTTGACAGCTCTTATCTCCTGATCCTCCTGTCAACTGCTGAAATTCCGCAGGCTCCTAAAATGCGGATCAACCTGAAACTGACGATACTCTGCATCTGTATTTGCCTCACCATCCTTTCTGTATCCATATGGACGAGATGCGGAGGCGAAATCCCTTCCTTCCCTAGTTCGTTCAAAGACGAATCCGTCAGAAGCAAAATACAGGTAATTCTGATATTATTGTAGTGATTTTGTATGTATTGATATTTGGGTCAGCCCGATCTTGCTTTGCACATCATGACTTTCACCAGTGAAATTGGCCCTAGTAGTTCAAAAGTACATTATCAACACATTGATGCTGGGTGTTGTGCGACTCGGTGAACTCATACTGATCCGGGGTCACTTATTTGGTCCACCTGCACTCGTTTGAGTAGTTCAGCAAACATGCGAGTGAAGACGGAGCAAATAAATGACCCAATACTGGTTCAGCATGAATGTTTACATATGACATTTATGCCTGGAAATATATGTCAAGTATCAGGCAGAAAATCGCTTTCACTGTTTACATACTGATAGAAATTACTAGAAATTTATATCATGGGAAGTATTCCTACTGGTATACTCATGACCCTAAAACCGACAAGGGTACAGGAGCTGATGTCTTCTCAAAGAACCCAAAGACCAAACTGAGGGTAAACCTGGCTAAAGTTTTCCAATCTGAAATCATAGTGATTGAACAATGTGCCAGAGAAATAAAAAGGCTACAAATACATTCCTGGATAATAGCCATTTTCTCTGACAGTCAGGCAGCACTTAGGGCCCTAGCCTCATGCGAGGCGAAAGCAAAGCGTGTTTGGAACTGCATGGAGGCTTGACAGAAGTCACACTGACACTAATGGCCTGATCCTGGCATGCATCCCTGGACATTCGCAGCCTGGCCAAAAAGCGTGCTAAGATGGACTCACTGGGCCGTGAACCCTACTGTGGGTTAGCAGCCTGCCACAAAAGAGGATACATTTTAAAATGAATCAAAAACCTGGTGGAATAATACCACAGTTATGAGAAGATCCATTCGCAAAAAAGAATTACTAGAAGGCAACCGCAACCGAACCAGGATTCTGGTTGGACTCCTGACAGAGCACTGCCACTTAAGAAGGCACATGCACCGGATTGGAGTACAGGCAGAAGAAACACTGTGCAGATACTGCCAGGAAGAGGAGGAGACCGCAGAACACATTCTGTATTTCTGTGAAGGTGTGTGTAGGTGCAGGTTCTTGCAACTAGGACAAGAAAAACCACAAGTAAGATCATATACTAAGGAGCCGCTGGCAAAGCTGTGGAGGCTAATTAATAACCTGAAGCTGGCCAGCGAGTTATAAATAATAGGGGAGCACAATAGATCTATTCAGGTCGAGGTGCAGTAGGCCTTGTGACCCTTTTTTTTTTATATCCCTATCCCCTACGTATGTGACATTTCTCAAAATGCGAAACCTGGAATAAATATATGACCCAAGGTGTTGAAATTGTTTTTTCATTGATATAAGTTTGTGGCAAAGAGGAAACAACTGATTCTTTCGAGGTGCAGTGTGGTCATTGTGTCAGGGTTGCTTGTTGAGCTTGATATTGTTTGCTTGTTCTTGGACGATCTTCCCCTGATTCTTAACTCTTGTATGCTGATGATTTTCTAGTTGTAGCCAAGTCTGATGAGGGTCTTAAAAGAAACATTTAAACTGCTAGAAGCCTATTTTGACCTGTGGAACCTGTCAGTTAATGTACAGAAATCCAAAGTTATTGTGTTCAGGGAGGTCATTTGTTGCCATTCACGCTATTTTATTTAAGGGACATTTTTAAGATCATAATAATCTTTCCTCAGCAAGTTCTATTATGGGGCCAAGTCAGACAAGGAAAAAGCTTTTGCATTCTTATCTGACCACAGTGTTCACCCCACATGCCAACATCATAAGCCATACTTTTTCAAAACCTATCAAGGAATATTTATACTCCCCGATTCCATTATCCTTGCCTCCTAAAACTTTTTCACCTTCTGATGTTCATTCTACCGTAACACTTAAAATCAAAGAAAGCTACAGGTTTTAATCTTATTACTCCAAAAATTCTCCAACACCTTTCCAAAAAGACCGGCATATTCATTACATACCTATTTAATTATGTTCTTTGTACAACCTACTTATTTCCCTATAGCTTTTCCCTATTTTTAAAAATGGGCGTCTTTTATTAATTATTGTGTGTCTGACATGTTTAGTTCCCAGTTGCTCCTACTGCTTACGGAACCATTTAATGGCTTCCTTGATAGATAGTCAACTCCAAACAGTCTGTGATGTAAGGGAGGACTTTATCTAAAACATTCCTCAAAATTGAGAAAAGCAGACATCGTCGCTTTGAGATAATTTTCATCTTTGCGTATATAATAAATTATACACTCAAGCCCCTCCCCCCCATTAAGGTTGATGTTGGGTTGTTACGTTCGTAAAACATAACATAGTATGAAAACATAACATTTTATGAGTGTATTGTTGTTGTTTGGCCAGAGATGCCTCCTGAATTGTAATGCCACCTAAACTAAAATTAGCGGTGGGTTAATCAAAATTAAGACGGTCTAGGATAGGCTTATGAGAGAGTAGAGGAGTGAAGAAAAGAGAGGACAGTGTGCGTCGAGACGGATATCCCTACGGCTTGGCCGAAGCAAAGAAAATCATCAATTCCTTGATCAACGAAGGCAATCGAGGACCACTCAACTTCAGAGAAGGTGCTCCACATTCCTAGAAGCGGGGATTTTCAATCGCCTGGAAAAGAAGCATATCTGGACACTGGTTCCCAGGAAAGTTTAGTTTTTAAGGAATGTTTATTTAGATTTTATGATAATTTAGGTTCATTTAGTGTGTAAGTTTGTTAAAATGTTACCCGTAGAGAATTAAAATTAGTCTATGTTTAATGTTATAGTTTCCGTTGGAATAAATGTGTTTTTTTTGTTTCCTTATGTAAATATTGTGTTCTTTTTTTTTATTAATTTTACTGTTATTGAATTTTCTTTGTTTTATTTTATTTTATTTTTCTTTCTTTACGGTTCGCTGTTTCCGTGTATATAAACAGTGTGGCGCCCATTTGTTTAAAAATTTAATATTAAGTTCATCATTGTTAATTCATTAAGTAACCCCGCCCGTCTCCACAGAGCGAAGCCGGCAAATTCTCGGCGTAAAAGGGTGTTGGTCTGAACTCATGTTTAACCGGGTTACTTATTGGGTTCATCTATACCTGTGAGTTCATCACCATTAGTTTTCATTACTATTCATCCATTCAGTGTAAAACATATTTTCGCAGATTCTAACAGTTTTTTATAGCTTGAAAAACTGTTTCATTATTTTACAACACAATTTACTGTTAAATTTACTATAAAATTTGTTATAGATAGTAGGCATCTCATGTGCATGTTCTAACGGCTCACATAAGATTAAAAATAAGTTATGTTAGTTTTTGATTGTATTGTAAAATTATAGGGGGTAAAATGAGGGGTTGAGTTAGCCATTGAGAATAGACAGACAAAAATGATCAGAAAACCAAACAAAACAAAAATTATTTAGTATTTTTTAAAGTATTAGAATTTTAAAAGGTTAGTATGGACAGCTATTTTTACCTGAAAAAATAAAATAAAAACAAAAAATACAATCTTAGCTTGAATGATTATTTTATAAGGTTGCAGTCTGATTCAAAAATATATACATTTATTTTAATTTTACGCATTGTTGTTATTTAATTTTTATTTTCAGAGTGCTATTGGTTCTGAGGGCAGTGGGCTGGAAGAGATAGAATGCCACATAAACGGCGAATACAGTGTCCCTTGTCGAAAGGAAGGTGATGAAGTATACTTGCCATTTTCGTTTATACACAAATATTTCGAGGTGTACGGGAAGATAGCTATCTACGATGGCTATGAAAGATTCGAATGGTCCCACTCTTATTCCAAGGTCTACTACCCAAAGGGCAAGTACGATCCGCGGGGTGTTTTCCTGTACTTTGAAAACTACAATGTCGAACTTAGAGAGAGAGTCAAGTGTATCAGCGCAACCGAAGGGGTCCCGGTATCGACCCAGTGGGAATCGTCCGGCTACTACTATCCCACTCAGGTCGCCCAATTCGGGCTGGCGCATTATTCAAAAAATCTCACCGAGCCTGAACCAAGGGTTAAAGTACTTGATGATGGTGTTGGTGTAATGGGCGAATGGGTTACAGATTATTCAAAAATCTCAAGAACTGCCCATACTTTTGTTTTCAACTCAAGCGGTATTTTATTTATACATATATTCCAAATAAACATAGTGAATAAATTTAATAATTTTCTGTTTTGCAGAAGGGCATGTTTCTTTAAAACTCGATCATGTACTAGACTTTGTCTTGTCCGTTGAGTTGATGTTAAAAGCATCCGAAAATTCTTCCTTTACAGTGGTGTTACAAAACAGAGAGAAAAAAGAAACCTGGTCACTTCATTATTCCTGTTTATCACCTCTTATTTATTCCAAGGTAATAATTTTGATTACTCTTTAATTTCGTACTTATTTTTTAAATTATTTTTTATTTTATTTCAAGGATCAAGATGTTTATCATAAAATTGTTTGTGAGGACGGCCATTGGTCACTTCTCATCCGTGATCTTCTCATAGACCTTCAAAAGGGACTTGCTGCGCAATCAAAACCTAAGAAAAAACTTCTTAGGTAAAAATCTTAAGCCTTCACCTCCTTGAAACTGTTTTTTCAATTTAATTTTTTGTTTCAGATCTAAATTCAAAGTAACAAATATTTATTTAGAGGGAAGTGGTAAATTAGCAAATTTGAGCTTGTCTACAAGCAGGCATTTAGAACAGTTTTACCTTGCTGCAGACTGGCTTGTAAAACACCAAGACCAACGTACTGGTGGATGGCCTAATGCTGTCAAAAGGAAAGGCCCATTGGGGATGAAGGATTTGCAGCCAGGATGGTACTAGAAATAATCATAATAGATATAAGAATAATAAATAGTTAATAAATAATAATATAAAAATTCTGACTTAAAATATTAATGTCCTTAATTAAGCTAATATATTGAGATTGGTCATTGAATACTATTTATACTTATTGTACTTCTTTGTTTAAGGCTGTCTGCGATGGGACAAGGGCATGGCATGTCGTTATTAGCTAGGGCGTATTACCATTCGAGGAAAGTTGTTTACCTCCAATCTGCACTTTTGTCACTGAGACCATTTCATGCACCCAGTTCGCAAGGAGGTGTTCTCGCTCACTTTATGGGCGGCCTCCCATGGTATGAGGAGTACCCCACTCAGCCCCCATCGTTCGTCCTGAATGGCTTTATTTATTCTCTCATTGGCCTTTATGATCTGATTACGCTTATTCCAAAGGTGGTGATATAACAATTTTCTCAATTGTATTTAGCTATTGTTCTTTGCATTTATGCATAACTTAATATTACAAATATATATATATATATATTGTAATATTAAGTAAATAAAATAAAAACCTAAACTTGATATAGCATGTTAGCATGTATATTAGCCCTAATCACAACTCATATTTGTACTCACATATTTATGCACATGCACTTCATGGAAAAACATTAAAATCATACTTAATCTATTATGGAATTACTTGTACCCAACCTAACCTACTTTTTGAATTATACTGGCACCTAACCAAACAACGTGCCTTTTGAATTACACTGGTATGTAACTCAACCTAACCTACTTTTTGAATTACACTGGTACGTATTGCTACCTAACCTACCTACTGTACTTATTGGTACCTAACTTTCCTGTTGACTTATACTGGTACCTAACCCTAACTAACCTTCCAATTGAATTAGACTGGTACCTAACCTTTCTATTAAATTATATTACCTAACCCCACCTAACCTACTTTTGGAATTATACTGGTACGTATCTTTACTTATCCTACCTGTTGAATTTACTGGTACTAACCTTCCTATTGAATTATACTGGTTCGTAACACTACCTAACCTTCCTGTTGAATTTACTGGTACCTAACCCTGCCTATCCTATTTACTGAATTATACTGGTACTAACCCTACATAACCTACCTATTGAATTACACTGATACCTAACCTTACTTTACCTACTTATTGTATTATAGTAGTACTTAACCCTACATAACCTTTTTGGTCATGATATTAGTGCCAAAAACAAGTTACAAGTTAATTTTTAATTTTATTTTTAGAACCATGAAGCAGTGGTCCTGTTCAATCAAGGGATGGCTTCATTAAAAAGGCTTTTACCACTTTTTGACAATGGCTCAGGTAGTAATTATGATCTGAGACATGTCTCTTTAGGGGTTGCGCCGAATGTGGCCAGGTGGGACTATCATGCGACACATGTCAACCAGCTTCTCCTCCTCGCGACTCTCGACAACAGCACTGTACTCTCTTCGACTGCGGAAAGGTGGCTTGGCTACATGGCAGGTAAACGCGCCGCACACAATTAAACTCTAGTTTTTCATTCACCATTTACACGCCTTGGTGTAAAAATTTCTGTCGAGATGTGTAGACTGTAATATATTCGGATTATTGTGGAGTGTTGGGAATAGGAAATTAGAACTGAGGGGTTAAACAACTGTGCAATTTTTTAAAATTTTTTATTTAGACTTTGCAATTTTATGAAGGAAAAAGGATTTTTTTAAAAAATTGAAATAAGGCAATTCTATCTCTGTGATGTCAGTCCACTTCTGTGATATAAACATTTATCATTTTGTTTCCGCCTCTTCACAACTTAAACAACTATTCTCAGCACTCCATTATAATTAACATATGTTTATATTGTTGCTGAAATTGATGCTTCGTTGTCTACATTAAAATTAGCTAATTCTACAAAAATATTACTATATTTTATCTCATCTTTTAAGTTGGGACACTGTATAAAATACTCATTTTTCAATACAAGTTGGTAGGACTTACTCAAACTGTTTATCAGTAAAAATTTAAAAATTGGAAACTATTTTACTTACTTTTAATAATTTAAATTAGTTACTTACATGACCTACAAAGAAAAGGGCTTTAAATTGTAGTTTTAATGTTTATTCTGTTGATAAAACGAGAGATTTTAAAAGTGTTTGAAGAGTTTATAAACATTATGGTCTATTAATTTTTTTTTTAAATCTGAGAATTTAAATGTTACAAATTGCTTTATGTGTCATCTCTAGTTTTGTGATGTAATATTTTAACTGAATGAGTTGTTTTTAAAGACTGCAAGGATCTCTTTACCTGGTTTTCAATTTTTTTTCCTATATACAAAAATTAGAGTATATATTAAAGGAAATATAAAAATTTATCTTCCTCGACTCAAAAGAAAATATTATAACCAGTCAATTACTACAATTAGAAGTTAGACACTAATGGAAAAAATGGAGTAGGGTAATAATTACATGGTTGTGTATAAAAAAAGCTTTAGATGTAAACGACATAGGGGTAGACAAGTTGCATTTACAAGAGTGATGGCTATAAATATATTTCTTGTCTTTTATTTCGCCATTATCTCTGTTCATTTCTTAGTCCGAATTTCTTTCCGGCAGCTTGAATTCAAAATTAGTTTTGTAAAATTGAGAGATTTTTAAAAATAGACGAGTGTTTGTATTGGTATGGAGCGTTTTGTGAAAACAAATGTAAACCGCAAAAGTGGCAAGTAGTAAGTACACCCCCCTCGTCCTCAAAAAAAGAACAGAATCATTTTGTAATTTTTTCAGTGGACAATACTTAATTTTGTACTTAATACTCTTCACTTCGTCGGGACAATCTTTCTAGTCTAGTATTTTATTATTTAAACTTGCCACTGACATTGGTTGAACACATAAGAATAAATGGAAAATAGACAATCTAGCAACCTTGGTTGATGACCAATTTTCTACTTGGACTCTGCTGTTAAAAAAAAAAAAAAAAAAAAAAAACTTTTATGAATCATAACTTCCTTCTTTTGGAACCTTACATAATTTGAACTTGTCCTGAATGTTTTTTATTTATCATAATAGAACTCAAAATTTGACCATTATTTGTTTAGAATTCTATTACTTCTTATTAATTATAAAAGTGTTTATAGGTTGTTATATGTTAATGTTATATTCTAGAAAAAATCTAAATCTTGTTTATTTTTTTACGTTAATATCAAAGTTATTATTTTATTTTTGTAAACTTGTTTTATTTTAATAATAATAGTCAATTTTGAATTTTTGTTCCATAATTTAAACATTTCCCATGGGCTTGTATGGCTAATAATAATAATAATAATAATGCAGTCATTTTGTTGCCAAATATTTAATATTCAAATTAATTTAGTATAAAGTAAAAGATTTTGATGGTTTTTTCTTATTTGTTTTGAAATGTAATACCTTTTAAATACATGCTGACAATAATCTTTGATCAGTTTAAGCAATTTTTTTTTTAAATAAAGAAATGTGCAGTCTGATTTTTGGATTAGTCAAATTTTTGTTTGCAATTAAGGGCCTAAAAATAGTTAATTGGCTGTCGTATTATATTGAAAATTGTACATCTGTGCAGCAGGTGGCGTTATTCTCTGTGCACTATTGATTCTAAGGTAAGTGGGATGGTTCGCAATTTTTGTTTGTTTTTGTGTGTAAGTGTAAACTATTTTAGCTGAACAGAGGATAAGATAATGTTTCTATTGTACATATATATCATTTGACTTAAAGTTTTTTTTCACTTGTAAATTTCTTTAAATGTTCAAATAATATGTGGGAGAAGAAAAAATAATGATTGTAAATGCTATCTGTCTTTTATATTTTCTGACTTTGTTTTTTTACTTATTCTGTATAGTATCGGCAATATTCAGTCCTATTTTGCTCCTCAAGAAGTCAATAAAATGCAAAAAGAAATTAAAATATACATAAAACCATACCTACTAGATAACGTTGATGAATTCAATCTAACTGTAGACAAACAATAAAGCAACAAAATACTGACCAACTACCAAAAACAATGAAAATTACCTTTATTGACAAACATGCACAAAAACTTACTTTCATACTACAACATAGTACAACAATAAGGAAATAAACCACTTCAATATAGAAAAATTATAAATACAAAACACCCAGAAAAAATAACAATGTGACAACATCAAAAAAACAAAAGACGGTCAGATATATTTATGCATATTTTTTCTGCTTCACAAAAAACATTGAATTACGGATATGTAACCTAGCCCTAACCCTAACCCACAATACTTAATCTGACCTAACCATTTCTAACCTAACCTAATGCTTTCTAACCTAACTTAACCTAACCTATACCTTACCTATAATCTAACAATTTCTAATTTAAATCAACCTTTCCCTACTAACTCACCATTCCTATCCTAACCTTACTGTACCAACCTCTCCTAACCCATGTGCACTCCCAGTAATCAGCGATGCGAAAATGGCCGTTCAAAAAAATTATTATCCAACCTAAAACCATATCCATATTAAAAAGAAAGAGAGAAATTCCACGCAAAAACAGACCTTAAAACATAATGCATAATTGATACATGTACATATACACAAAATATACATCACATTACAAAATAATAAGAAAAAAACACAGTAAACATAACCAATGAAGAACAAAAGTCACACAATATTCTTACAAACAAACACACTGTTAGTAGAGAGACAGCTTACTATACCAAAGCACAGCAAAAGTAAAGTACTCCCTCAAACCTGCTTGACTCACTGATGATGGTACAGAGTCAAAATATATGTGAAAAATTTTCAGCCGGGTAATATTGTAGCAGCTTCATTTTTATTTTAAATTGCTAAAATCTAATTCTCTCTTAACTCTAAATTTTTTTAGTTTTTCGTTAATTTTTAGTATAGGTTAAACAAGAAGATACCAAAGTCAGAATTCCTTTAATTTGGCGTTGATAAATAAGTGTGGGATTTTGTTTAGTTAAAGAAATAAATCAGTGGGCCGTCAGTGCAATTTTAATTAGTGTATAGAATATCATTTGGTACAATTTTGAACCTCTACTACTTTAGAATCATTCTATGACAGGATAAATTCTCTGGCGATAAAAATGTAAAAAAAAAACTTTTTCCAGCAAGGTTTTCACTCTCAATGGGCAACTTTATTGTAAAATATCATTAAAATTATACAACTACCATAGAAAAGCACACTCTAGACCTAGACTATAGAAATTACGAGCTTAAGTATGTAACCTTTTTTGTAATAATCTTATCAATGTTGAATAAGAACTGAAATTATTTTTGTTTGCTTTTGTGTTTCCCATACCACATTTCAAAAAAATAGTACTGATGCAAAAGTAATGTCGCATTGTAAAATAAAAATTTTCTGTGAAATTTGTCTGTGTAATCTGCGAAGTGACATGTAATTTGGTCATTATTGATAATTTTGGTCTACATGTTCTTGCTGTGCTGGTCTGTCAGATGTGTTTCGGCATTTTGCTATCTTCATTGTTGGGTCTCCCCCAAAACAAGAATAAGCAGAACAGAAATATCTCATTAAATAGTTTTTATGTGTAAAACAGAAAAAACTGTCTTAATTCTTATATATAATATTTTTTCTGTTCAGATATTTTAATCAGTGCTTAGAAATGCCCAAATTACAAAATTCTCAGAATGGCAATTTTAACTTAAGTATGGTACTTTTGCATCAGGCGAATAGTTTTAGTTTTAGCTGGGACCAACTCAAAACCAGTCAGCTGTTCTTGTAACATACAAAATTATTAAAAAAAGTTATTGTGAAAATTTTGTCTTCTAACCTTTGTAGTTTTGTATTTACCTTGCATTAGTGAATTGACAATAATAAACTGTATCTTCTAAAATGTTTAATTAACAAACTTTTAAAATGTATTTTGATATTTTGTTTTCACTATTGTCTGTTGTTTTGGTTTTTTTCTATGACAAATTTGTTACTAGGGCTTCCTTTATAAACTTTTTAAATTGGCGTCCTGTGCAGTATTTTTATATATGATTTTTTTCTGTAATCCAATGTTCTTGTTAACAACTGCATAAACCTGTTTTTAGTTTTCCCAATTTTCTAGTCAATATTGTTGAATTTGAAATAAAAATTTGCTGTTTATTATTTTTAGTGCACATGAGATCTTTTGCAATGTTGGGCCACATGTGTATTGATTGTTAATTGTTTTTATTGTTGATATTTAGATTTGGACAGAGAGTCCTACAGCGTTAATTTGTATAATCATGTGCGTAGTTTGTTATAGTTTTATTATTATTTTTTGTTTTGATGTTTTAAAATATATAAAAAAATGTCATTTTCTAATAGATTCTAATTTTAAGTAGGTAATTATAAAGATAATTGTGAAAGGGTAGGCAAGAAGGTGAAAGAGGCAAATGTGCTGGGTCTTGGCACAGAATTTTGTAATTTGGCACTTGTACAGAAATTATGGAATAAAAAAATGTAATATCACTTTGCTTTTTAGTTATTATTGATTTGAAACCCTCCTGACTAATCTGACCTAATCGCTGAGTTTTGAATTCTTTCTGGCTTTCTGAGGTGAATCCAAATTTAATATACTTGAATGAAATTATCCTTTTCTTGGTGTCCTGCTTGGATGGACATCTTATTTTTTCCATCTATGTTTGGAGATGATGCCATGTAATCCTACTGCAACAGTCCCAGCGTAGCTCACATATTTTAAATGAAAATTGTATGAAAAAAAGTTTTGGGTTGGTAATAACACCCAATGCGTAGTTGGACGTTAAGCGCTCCTGTATGAAGAAAGGTATTGTTCTACTTTATTTCTAGAGCCTCTCAATTGTCAAGCAACTCCACTTCCCTTTTTTTGATGTTTTGTTAATTATTTTCCTAAATACATAAAATATTTTTTTTTGCTTCTTCCAAAGGAAATCTGCCATTACAGATCCATAAATATGCTCTATCACCTTTATTCAAATTACTTCCAAATTTACCTCTCCTTCCCTACTCCTGACTTGCAAGTTGAAATTGTAAGAATTCAGGAAGACTTAAACCCAATTAACTTTTAGGCCGCTGAAAATGGGATTAATTTACATGTACACAAAGTCTCCGGATATTGTGTTGCATGCATTTCTCTCTTTCAATTCTTACCCCTATGCCTTCGTTTAAAAGTAGCTCCTTCGTTTAAAAGTAGCTCCTTAGTTTAAAAGTAGCTCCTTAGTTTAAAAGTAGTATATGGGACTCGCTGAATGCCATGCAAAGGTTCACCAAATTCTGACTGCTCACCTTGCTCGGCTAATTGACGTTTTTCTTCTATTACAAATTTTAATGAAAGAACAACAGTGTTGTTTCTGTTGGTTAAGAATGGATTGGCCCAACATAGGAGTCTTGGTGTTCCTCGATCGTAACCAAGCCGAAGCAATAATTTGGAACGCTTCTCTTCCGAGTCACAAAAATCAGAACAAGATTTTTGATGCGTGGAAACGGATTGAAAGTAATATGGGGCAACAGTTCTATATGACTTAGTTTGCAGTATCTACACAAAACAGTAACTGCAGCTGCAGCAATGACAATTTCACTATTGTCTATCAGATTGGGAGTTAGTTGAGGACTCACACAGCACTTGGCAAATATGTATTTATTGTATCCAAAAACAAACCCGGCATGTGTGTTTACATGGGCATTCTATTTGGCAAATGCCAAGATGAGTATTTTGAGACGGCAATTATTATTGGGGGAATACCACATGTCTGGAGCCACCGTAATATTACCAATTACCCTGTATTCTATCCCACCTTGTACTTGACATTGTCCTGGAAGCTGCACACCTCCTAGAGTTCCTGCTGCTGCTTTTCCACCATCCATAAGTTCCATCGAGCCAGCCACCTTCTCCCCTTTAGTACGCATAGCCTTGAAAATAACACCACTGTAGTGGCCGAGAGGTTAGGGCATTCGACTTGTATTAGCTAAGCTAGTGATTCTGGGTTCGAATTCTGGCACAGCTCGTCTAATTTTAATAAGTAATATTTTGCAAAAAGTATTGTAAATTGGTTCTGACCCTTTAATACCTCAATATGTAGTTGGAAGTTAAGTCCTACTTATAACAACAATTCTTTGGCTGAGTCACATTACACATTTTTTACCTTTTAAGTTCCCATCCTCTTCATAGCTTATCACTTATTGAGCCCTTCAAGACTCAAGCAGTGCTGTTTCTTTTTTTCTTGTCACATTAATGACTTTCCTGAATACATAAAATATTGATCCCATCACCTTTATGCAGATGTCCCCAAATTTACTTTTTCTTCCAAACTCCTAATCTAACTTACCTCTTATCCCTCTGTTTACTATTACTAATCACTTTATATTCTGTCCCTCCATCAAGAGTCTTGTGGATGTCGTTTATCAGTCCTTGTCGTGGAAGCCCTATAATTTCTAGATATCCTGCTGCCGGTTTTCCATCTTTCATTAGTTTTGTTGCTCCTTTACCTTTGACCTCATTACCTCCTCAGCCTATCACTCTTGAGGCCCTCAAAGTTTAAGCAACTCTGCTTCTTTTTTTGTTGTTACAAATATCTTTCCCTAAATTGATAAAATATCGAACCTATCACCTTTATGCAGATTACTCCCAAATTTACCTTTCCTTTACAACCTGCCTCGTATTTTATTTACCTGGGGGACCAAATTACTTATTTCAATTAATTATTCTTTTTATGTAAGGTCTTGATTGAGATGAAAAAGTTAGTGTCATGAGCGGGATTCGAACCCACGACCTTCAGCTGGCATATTGAGCCGTAGGTCATGGGTTCGAATCATGCTCGCAACATTAACTTTTCATCTCAACCAAGACCTTACATAAAAAGAATAATTAATTGATATGAGTAATTTGGTCAATTAGACCACTAAATATAATGGATAATTTTTAATAAGTAAATAAGTATTACTTCACTAACAGCTCCCCGAGGCCACTTCATAAGTCGCTGAGAATCAAATCCTGATTACACGACATTTGAAAAAATGGTAAAAATTCAAAAGGTTGCAGGTTGAGATGTGGAGTTAGTGTCTGAGTGGATCGAACTATCGGAGTCATGATAGCTCAAGTGGTTAGAGCAGCAATGTATTGAGCTGAAGGTCATGGGTTCGAATCCTGCTCGTGACACTAGCTTACTTACAATTGGTGGCAAATAAAATGACAAAATAAATTTTATTCACCCTACATTCTGTCCCACTATCATTTTGATTTTTTTTTAAATGGCTTTATGTACTATGCATATTAGCCAATGCCAGACAATATGTGATGTGTATTCGTTTTGGGGGGAAGGTTATCGTGAAAAAAGGCCAGAGGCGACAGCGGGAATTGAACCCACATCCGCAGGGTCTACGAACCGAGAGTCTCTCACGCTAACCACTCAGCTACTGCGGCCCCCATCACTTTGATTACTGATGTGTTGTTTATTGGGAGTCACTGAGGAGTTTGATAAGCATAAAAGTTTAATAAATTGTTTTATGTGTTTCATCATCGGTTCCCCCAAGAGGGTCCCGCATGACTGATCAGTACTCTGGCTTAAAGTGGTTATACCATCCCTACCAGAGGGCAATAATTCCTAGTTCCTTTGCTCCTACCTCTATCATATCTACCCATTTCCCTCTCTACATCATCTTCACATCATTTATATACTATCATCAACCTTGTTCTCATCGTTTTGACGTCTATCCCCCTGACACTGAACTCTTCAGTCATACTTTCCTCACCCATGCCTCCAATCTATAGAATTCCCCTCACTCTATCCGCCTAGCCTTGTCCATTTCCAACATACAACTTGACATCGCTGGTATTTAATTGCCCTTTTTTAGCTTTGTTATTATTTCTTTCAATTAATTATTCTTTTTATGTAAGGTCTGGTTGAGATGAAAAAGTTAGTGTGACTGAACGAGTGGGACTGAATCCACGACCTTTGACTGAATACTCCATTGCTCTATCTACTTGAACTATCGTGACTTTGATCCACTCAACTAAGACCATACACAAAAAGAATGATTTATTGAAAGAAGTAATTTGGTCAATTAGACTACTAAACATAATGGATTAATATTTATTATTATTGTTGGATATTTTGTATGAATATATTTTTGTAAATAGACATTTTTGTTTAACTTTCTCAAGTATGGATGAGGTTATTATGTGCACATAGGTTATTATGTTCATCATTTGGTTTCAAGGGGCTTTATAAGTCCCAGCATTAAATTTATTTTTTAATTTTATTTGTCACCTTCTGTATGTGTCTTGTAATTCCACCCTCCATTAATTGTAAATAAATTTTTGTGTGTGTCCCCCTTGCTGATCTTAGACACTCATTTTTCCAGACAAATCGAACTTGCGATCATCCATTTTCTCATAAACTGGTTAGTAAAATGCAGGAAAGGGAAAGCTAGTAACCATTTATATTACATGGCAAATATGCTCAGAACATATTAACAAATCTCTACAATGGATTTATAAAAGTGAAAGGAATTTGAAATATGAGTATTTTTATTTTGTGAGTTTTTCCAGCCATGACAGTTGTTCGTCCAGTCTGAAATCCGATTTGTTGAAATAGTCATCAGAGGTAAAGATGTTGTTAGGAAATTTGCACACATTCTCTTTTGTCACGATTTGATGATCACCATTAGAAGTGTCAACTGTAAGAATCTCATCGCCGGTTTTCTCAACCAACTCTTCGCCATTGGACAACGTGATATATCTTTTCTTCGATCTTGTGATCGTAATAGATTTAGGCGGAGAGGAAGTCTAAAAAAAATTCATATCAGCGTTGTAAATAATATTGAATATATTAAAATACCTCTGTAATATTTTTAAAGATTTTATCATGTATTTTTGTCTCTTGGGTCAATGAGTTCTCTTCCTGTGAGAATATTTTATTAAAAAAATTTTTTTTTACTAATTTTTAATTAAAAAATATACCTTTTCTTCCTTCTCCAATTCTTGGGAATTATTGTTAAAAAACAATAAATAATCTACCAAAGATTCTGCACTATTTACCTAAATACACAATTCACCTTATATATCTATTTTAAATTTATTATTAATTTAAAATAAGGCTGGTTTACACAGGCCTAGTTTATTAGTACTCACCGTTGGCTCTAAATCTGTGTTGTGTAAACCGATTTGAACAATAGATATGCATAGTGGAAAAACATGGCAGTTTCACACTGAACATTAACTGGTAGTGGTTACAAGTAGAGCACATGTGAACCACTACTAAAATAAGATTGTCAGCTAAGTGAATGGTAACTAATGATTAGCACTAAGTTCATGCAAAACAGCCTTTTTGTAATAGATGTGTCACTAAAAAAAGGAAGGAATTCGAAGTTGGAGTCATGGCATACCAAAAAATTTATTTGACCTCTCATTTCTACACTACTTCATAGTTTTATATTCTGTAAACAGTTTTACAAACCCTAATGTCATAGAATCCACGCAAATAGTTAAAAAATAAAGTAAAATATCAAATCGTTGACTTATGTGTTTCAGTGTGGTTGTAGAAAGGGAAAAATAGTAATTGCATAATCATAATAATATTTAAATTTTTTGTAAACCAATTAGCTTCAATTCTATAATGTTAGGGAATAAAAGACGGTTATTAGAATGGACAAATTTGGAATGGCACAGAAATGAGACATCACATAAATTAGACGATTTAGAGCTGCCTTCTTTTGGATTTCATTTCTTACTATTTTTGGTACATGTAGACTGTATAATATTGGTTTATATGATATATTATGTTATGACAGTGAATCATTTGAAAATGTACATGGCATGACATTTAAATGGCCTATTGTTAACCAATTTGTACTGTATTTTTATGATGTATAAATTATATTTAAATGCAAATATATTTAAAAACTTGCCGTTTTGTACTCTGAATTTGAATTAATTGAGTAATGTGAGTTTTTACTGGTTTCAACCATGTCAGTGTTGTTAAGATTAGAACTTTCCTTTATCTGAAATAACAAAGTACAAAAATATAATATGTACAAATCACAATGTATAAATCCAGCTAATAGCATTTACCCAATCATGAGAAATGTTGCAATGGTTCTTTATCATATTGAAATATCCCTGTTGAAAATTGATTAAATATTATTATGATTGTTTGTTACATTAAATAATATTTTTAATTGAATTTTATGAAGAATTTACGTGTGATTTTGCTTTCTTCAAGTATGCTTCTTTTTCGGATTCATTTCCTGCCATCAAGTTTTGCGGGTCAATTTTTTTAGAATCTTCATCCCACTATGAACGTAAAATAAATTAAAAAAAATATATTTAATATATTATATTTAAAAAATAATATAACTAATTAAGCACATTTAAGTACAGGAGATTACTATCGTATATTTTTTAAACTCTATGTTACTTCATTAGATGTATTTTTTTTGTTGGTTGGAAATGAAAATGTAAGTATTCTGTATAATAGTTATATATATGGAAACATTTTTAATCAAAGGAAGGGCTGCAACTGAAGTGATACTGAAAGAAAACAGGGTAAGATAGTAGTAAATCACGAAAACAATTTTCACACAGTAAGTCCAGTTTATGACCACATGGCCGGATTATCGTTAACTTTAAGCTTTCTAGTTGTTCTCGAAACTTTTGTTTTTACTTTTAACAGAGACAGTTTATCAGATAATTTATTTATAGATATCGGTGTTTCCTCATGTCTCCGTAACGGCGCGGAAGACCAACACTTCTTCAATACTCCCAGGTCTTGCGGGTTTAGCATACAGGTGTCGCCGTGTCTACAAATCTACTACACTGTGTAGATTGTTTACCAATACGGCGACACCTTTATACTAAACCCGCAAGACCTGTGAGTATTGGAGAAGTGTTGGTCTTCCGCGCCGTTAGGGAGACTTATGAGGAAACACCGATATTTATCAATCAATTATCTGATAAATTGTCTCTGTTAAAAGTAAAAGAAAGTTTTGAGAACAACTAGAAAGCTTAAAGTTAAGGATTCAGGATAGGATAACGAGTGAGTGAGTGAGTGAGATAGAGTGAAGAGAGAGAAAGAGAGAGAGAGAGAGAGAGAGAGAGAGAGAGAGAGAGAGAGTGTGTGTGTGGTGCCCAATGACATTTTACAACACTAAACACCCTACAATTATAACCGATTTTGGAGTAGATTTTTTCAATTCAATTCGATCTTGCTCATGCTTTCCCGTTTGAGCATCTATGTACGATTTGTTCACCATCTGAAAACCATAAAAAAGTTTGGTAATACATTTTCCACGAGCAGTGTAAATTCAATCATTTTCCGTATACCTGGTCAAAGCTTTCGTTATTTTTCTCCGTACTGAAAGCTGTAGATATGTTGGACGACTGGTCACCAGCGAGGGTAGAAAAAAAAATTCTATTAAGAAATACAAAATTTTGGTTCCAACTCACCTTTTTCTTTCTAAACTGATTTTTCAATTCATCCTCATACTGATTTTGCATTTGGACCGTTTCGTTATTCACGGATGTTCTCTTGTCCACCTGAAATATGGAAAAAGAGCGATTTTTAGCAGAAGATTGATTAAATTTTTACCTACAGTTTTTTAAAAATAAATATTTGGCAAGTAAAATCATTTTGTCGTAGATACCTGCTCAAAATTTGCGTTATTTTTCTCTCTGTTAAAATTTATAAATTTGTTTGATGACTGGAAACCAGCGAGGGTAGATAATTAATTTATTTTATTATAATAATTAATAAGATATATTAATTTGTATATTATTTATATTATATATTTATTTATATATTATTATATATATTTATATATTTTATTATTAATTTATATATAATATTGATTATTAATATATACAAAATTACCAGCGATTCGCCAGTGGGTCTCTTTTTGTTTCTAAATTGTTTTGCCATTTCAATCACTTTGTCATATTGATCCGGAATTTTGCTTTTGATATTCGGTGATATTCTCTTGCCCACCTAGAATATATTAAAAAAATAGTTGTAGAGGAGAAGTTTTGTTAAATTTTTGCTTCTAGAGTTTTTTTACTGGGTAGTAAAATTCAATCGTGTCGCAGATACCTGTCCAAAGCTATTATTTTTCTCTGTAGTTGAAAATATAGATCCGTTGGACGACTGAAAAACAGGGAGAGTGGAAAATTAATAAATTTAGTATTATAAATTTCAAAAAATTTGGGACAACTCACCAGCGCCGAACCAGTTGGTCTCCTTTTCTTTCTAAATCGGTTTCTCCCTTCATTATCTTCATCATACTGATTTGGTATTTGGACCGTTTTGATATTCATGGATGTCCTCTTGTCCACCTGGTAGTTAAAGAGACAATAATTCTTATAATGTTTTAATTTTAATTTACATGGTTTGGAAATTAACCATGACAGGTGAATTTTGCACGCATTTGCACACATTGGACTGGCACGTTTGCGTGAATTGAACATTTATTTTCTTCTCTTCCTCTTTCTGCTCGGTCGATCTATTTCTCAATTCCTGACGAGCAGTGTTCAGGTTAAAAATAAGTATATATTATATTTATACATTAAAATTTATCACCGATATTGTAACCGGGGGTCTGAAAAGAGTTCCATTTTTTCTCAGTCTCGTTCCCCTCATGAAACTATCAGAGCGGACCTGAAATGACGGAATCTTATCAGTCCTTTTCTTCCTTTTCCTATCTTCATAATTTACAAGTGTTGTTTTTGTATTTTATTATTTAATCTTTATATATTTAAAACGGCTAAGGTGTATAGAATTTTTCCAGTTTGGTGTTTTTGTACGAGGCAACCCGTTCAATACTCTTTTCACAGTATCCCCTTTTGTACGTGGTGGGAAATAGTGAAAATAGTTTCCACGTTAGTGGCTGTTCTCTTGAAAAGTGGAACACCTACGATATTCGCTTCAAGATAAGGCTTTCCAACCTTCGAAATCCCTTATCTCCTGTTCTGCCCTTTCCTGAAAACCACCCTTTCTCCAGCGTTTGTAATATTTCAGAGGAAAAAACGCCGAATTGTTAAGAACCATTATATTTATTATTTGTAAAAGTGTTGTCACTTTAATAGTCTGTCTGGAACAAACCATATTTGCAGATATGTAAATAATTCAATTGAGAATTTTTGAGAAAAAGAAAGTGTGATGAATAAATTGATTAGGCGAAGGTTATGTAGAATAATGGTTAAATGAATAAATAAACAGAATATTAAATTTTAATAACAGTAAGCTCATAGAAATACATAAATGTAAATCAAATGCAAGAATAGATAATCAGACAGGCTCAGAAACAGACAGATATATAGTGTAGGTAAGTAGGAAAATAGGTATATTATGTGAACACACAAATTTACGTTCATTTTACACCATTTGATTACGTACTCTAGGCGCTAATGGACACTTTCTTGAAAACCTCCCTTTGATATGAATTATCTTGATTGTTTTTCCTTCATCTGTCCTCGTTTGGCTGAGTTTTACTACCGGCAGAACTCCTTCAACTGGGAAATATTAAGGTTGAATTCCAATAAAGTTAATACACAATGGGGAAATAGTTACCCGTGACTTCGTGCCCGCTGTCTAGTTTCAATCCGCTCACCTCGACGTGTGACAACAGGTCATAATCGTAACCGAACATGGGCTTACCAGGAACAAATAAACTGTTTAACTGTTTGTAATCCGATTCTAGAAGGTAGCCATTTTCTATTTTGCCCAATTTAATCTTCAACCCGGCTTTTTTCGGATTGGACTGTGGAAGGGAAATTTTGGTCAAATTATGTTTCTTTCACAACAAATGAACGCCTGTATTTGATAAATAAATATACAAATAAACTCTTGATTAACCATAACTACAATTGGCATATTCGTTATATACAGCACTAATAAGATGTATGATGATTTATGGCTCATTTATCTGGTGAACTGCCATCACGCCTTAGAAACAGTATAAAACCTGTCTCCACCGGAATACCAGAGTACACCGATCAGTGGCACAACACAACATATTCGCCGGTGACCCCCAATCATAGGGTATGCGATAAGTAGGAAGAAATCGCCTTTCATATTATCTTCGAATGTGGAGCAACTGCTCAAAGCAGTTATAACCTAAGGTATCACGAAGACTAGAGGAAATGACTTGCAGAATGACAATCAATGACTTTCTCCTTCTTGAAAGAAGAATCAAGTCAGGTGGACTTAGCTAAGGAATACTATAATAAGATCCAAGCCTGGACGGCTTGGAAAATTTTTTTTCCACCTCCCCGCCGTACCTAAGGGAGACCCCATGCCGGCGGACCACGGCCACTAAACTAATTCAAATGGGATGCAAGTTTAGGGGATCTTATTGTGCTTAACGTCTTCCTTCGACCTTGCCCTGAAAGGGAAGACCCAAGGAAGAAGGGAAATTTTTTTTTATTATTATTAATTTATCTACTCTAATAGGTCTCCCCCTTGCTGGTTAATCCTTTTGAACACACTTTCTAATAAATACAATATTTTAATAAATAAATAACAATTATGGGTACAAGGAGTAACCAGCCCGGGATTAAAAGTTCAGGGAAACGCTAAGATTAACAAGTAACAACATAGGAAGAAAAATAAAAAAAGAACGAAAGAACAAACTAATCAGGCACTTTGTCCACTATGGCTCGGCTAACAGGCTTGAGGATCTCAAACGTCCTCTTTTCTTTAATCAGTTCGTGGAGGGTCGGTGGCCAAGTGTGGCGGAAGAGGAGCTTTAGTGGTTCCCTCACACTCTCAAGGAGGGGGCAGTTGAACAGTCTGTGTTGGACACTAGTGGACTGTTAGCTCTACGGAATCGGTGCAAGTAAGCGTTGAAATTTCCGTGACCTGTCAATATTTGTGTGATCCAGTAATCTGGTTGAAACCACTTTGCTTTTGCTCGGTCCTCAATACTGGGTAGAAACTCGTGGGTTAGCCTTCCCTTGGTGCTTCTGTCCCATCTTTCCTGCCACAAGTTGTCTATCCAAACTGTAAGGATCTCCCGGATCTGCTTTCTAGGTGCAGTTCGTAGCCTTTCCCTATCCGCCGCATCCAAATTTACCATTGTTGGCTCCTTTCCATTTCTTAGCTGCCGGATTGCAATTTTACTGTGGAGGACAATGTCTATTGGTGCAGCGGAAGCAAGGACTTGGAGGGCGTGAGAAGGGGCTGTCCTATAAGCTTTAGTCGTTCTCAGGAGCGCTATTCTTTGACTCTGCTCGAGGATGCTTCTACTCCTGCTTTGCAATTTTGTTCCCCAAGCTGCTCCTCCGTACGTGGCAATGGGCAGGAATACGCTTTTGTAAGTGATAGAGAGCGCCCTTGGACTCAGCCCCCATTTTGATTTCGCGATCGAGCTTAGTTTCGAGAAGACGCATCTCGTCATTTCTCTGATCTTGATGGGCTTGGGAGATACTATCGGTTTTTTTTGTATTTTCATCACCATCAGTCAAACACTTTTAAATTTCAATGATAATTTTTAAATATCAATTATAATATGAAAAATCCTATTTTTTGTCAATGACTTTGTTTGCGTATTTATCCGTATTGCTAGTTACAAATTGTGAGTTTGCGCGTGTATGACGATTAACTAGTAGAGTCAAGCAACTTGGAGACACTCAACTAGTAGAGTCTAGCAGCTTGGCAACGCTCAATAGTAGAGTCAATCTACTTTGTAGTTTAAAGCAATTTGGCGAATCTCAACTAGTAGTGTCAAGAAACATTGCGACCCTCAACCTCAATTATAGAGTCAACCAACTTGGAGACGCCCTAGTAGTAGAGTCAAGCAACTTGACGTTCCCTACCTAGGAACTAGTAGAGCCAAACAGCTTGCTGACGCTCAACCAGTAGAATCAAGCAATTTGGCAACGCTCAATAGTAAAGTCAAACTACTTAGTAGTGCAACTAATAGCGTGAAACAACATGATGAAGTTTAAATAGTAGAGTCAAGAAACTTTGCGATCCTCAACCTCAATTGGTAGAGTCAAGCAGCTTGGAGACACTCAACTAGTAGAGTCTAGCAACTTGGCAACGCTCAATAGTAGAGTCAAGCAACTAGCGGACGCCCAACTAGTAGAGTCTAGCAACTTGGCAACGCTCAACAGTAGAGTCAAGCAATTTGGCAACGCTCAATAGTAAAGCCAAACTACTTAGTAGTGCAACTAATAGCGTGAAACAACTTGGTGAAGTTCAACTAGTAGAGTCAAGAAACTTTGCGATCCTCAACCTCAATTGGTAGAGTCAAGCAGCTTGGAGACGCCAACTAGTACTTTGCGACTATTTGAAGTGTATAAATAAAGTATAAAGTAAAGGGCGTTTGCTCTATCATCATTCTCATTTAGAGATTCATTTATTTTTACTCTATGTTTAACGTATAGAGAAAGTGAGTGTGTGTGTGTGTGAGAGAGAGAGAGAGAGAGAGAGAGAGAGAGAGAGAGAGAGAGAATACGAACTTTAACGCTCGTTCTCACTTTTATTCTTTCTTCTTCCCTTTTCTCACTTTCGTCCTCACCTCAGCGCGCGATCTATAGATTGTTTGCTTCGTTTTATAACTTTTACTGTGACTTATTGTATCAATATCTTTATTCGCTCCCTCTCTTTTTATCTCTATCTATTTATATATCGTGTATATTTTTATCTATATAGTTATTTAAATATCTATCTATATTTTCTTTTTTGCCCTGTTTTTCCTTATTGTTCTTCTAACCTTTCTATCTCGCTCTCTCTCTCTCGCTCTCTCTCTCTCTCTCTCGAGCTATACATATATATATATATATATATATACATATATATCCTATTCATCTTCTTTCTCCATCTCTGTCTCTTTTGTATATAGTTGTCGGTATATCTGACTGTCATTACATATTTTCATCACTCTCTACATTACAGTAACGTTTTACAGAAACGTATTCTCCCTCTCACACTTTATCACAGGGAGAGAGAGAGGGAGAGTGAGAGAGAGAGATTTTCATTTATATCTCAAATGAATAAACAGTAAATGATAATGTGTGGATAATTTATTGAATTTTGGTGCTTTTTTTGTATTCTTGAGTTCTGTTCTTGTTTTGAAGTTGCAGTTAATGGCCGAAGAGATAGTAGTCATTCGTTGTATAATGAGAGGTCATGGCTCATTGACGAAACTTTGATTCTTACTCTAGAATACTAATATGAATAATAAACTCTAACTTTATACTCAACAGACATATGAATGGGGTATGGTCTGCTATTGCATATGGTTCGAGTCGAAAAATGAAAAGAGGCATGAGAGTCAATTTTTTTCATTTTTTAATCAGCTAGAATGCTCTCTCCGCTTATAACCCTAACGAATTAACTATGGCCCCTTCCTGGACAACGGTTTATTTTAGATTGGTGCTTTGGGAACTATGCATCTTTGAAGTTTTTATGGAAACCATTGGAAAATGGAGTCTGGTAAGTATATATTTTTTTGTTTTACAAAATTATTAAAATTGCAATACAAAAATTAAAATGTAATTCAATTATGCCAATAATTTTGTGTAGAAATGTGTTTCAACTATAATTTGTTATCTGTGTTGAGCACTGTTTAAAATTGGACAATTCGAGTCAAATCGAGAAGGCAGGTGTAGAAATTTTTTCAAATTACGTTTTATTTATATACATATTTTGTTAAGATGATAAATGGTACAATCTCACCTTCTGCTTGTTGGCATTTTTGCGTACGACCATGTTTTTAATAGAATCGACGATACGGCTGACGCAGTACCTCTTTTTGGGGCAATTTTCCATCTCGTACCAGAAATTTGGACAACGGTTTGAACACAGTCTGCGGCCAGGTGATTCTTCCGGAAATTTGTGGTACTGTTAAATCGTAGTGAGGATTTTTTTCTTAAATTATTGATTCGTAAGTTAAAAGTTGGTCTGAGATTCGAGACCATTGGAACGGTTGATGACTTTGCTGGATCCGTCTACTCTCGCTGATTTATATTTCAGCCAAACGCGTTCTTTATTAAAGATGTCTTAAACCAGCGAATGCACACGGATCCTGATCAAGTTTGTTGTTCAATACCATACTTGGTTCAATACTTTGAAAAATAAATGTCTCCATAGGAAATAAAGTTTTTTTAAAAAACAAACATTTATTTCTCTTATTTTTCATACATAAAATCTTACGACAAAAAATACATAATCTATTTAAGTTTATTTTAAAATCAATAAATAGTTCAAGTACAAAAGAAAGTCCTCCTTAAGTCCTAAACTTTGGGCTTTGGCCAGGATTAGGCGGCTTAAGCGAGGTTTTATTCTCGAAGAAATTTTGTTCTTTTTGCGAATGGTAACTGCAGACTCGACTAAACATCTATATACATTTTATTTTTAAACTTTTTTACTTGTAGAATTTCCACTTAGCAACGACTAGCATTTTATTATGTACATCAGATAACATAGGGTACAGTATTTTTAAAATTACTTTTGTTAACCTACTAATTATTAACAATGTTAAACAACGAACAATATTAATTATAGAAATAGATCACAGAATAATAATTCACTTGAAGTGTTATTATTTTTATTTAATTAATCATTTTTTGTAGCTGTAAAAAGAACATTCATGTAAGTATGAAATACGACAGAACTTTAAACAATTTAAAGATATGTAAACATTTTTGTTTAAACTAAAATTAAAAGTTTATAATACAAATTTAAAATTTATGTCATCGCTCAAATACTTCTTGAATTATATGGAACTTTTTTTATCCAGTTTGCTCTTCACAATTTTTTTTTCTATTTGATAAGAACTTTTGAGAGATGACGTTGTGTACAAAATTATAACAACTGTTTTGCTTCACGAAATGCCTATTTACAAAGACGACGCGCAAAGGCAAAGGCGCAAAGACAAAGAAAAGAGAGAGATAGAAAATGCAATTTAATATTAAACCCTGTCTGTCCAGAACATTCAGTGAACAGCCATTTTTATTTTCCGTATAAAATATTTCAGAGTTGCACAGGAACAAAATTGAGCTTTAGAAACACGGGTATTGCAACATCAATTGCACCTGTTATTTTTCAAGACAATCTTTATGATGAAGATTTTTTTTCCAAGAAGGATACTCTTAATCCTGAGAGCCACCAGTTTGGTTTACGTAAGAAGATAAAAAATTTCTTTAAAATCTTAAAATATTCTATTCGTTATTATTAACATTCTGACGTTTTTAAAAATTCCAAAATTTTTGGTCTAAAATCTTTCCACGAAATATATTCGATTTTGAAGCTTGGTTCATGTTCTTTTTATTATTTTTAAATATTGCTGTTTTACCTTTTGACCGAGCCAAGATGTACTGACGAAGCAAAGAGGACCCTGATTTTTAACCGATGGACTTCAATTAGTTTTATATTCGCCTTGGCATTCACCAAACGCCAGTGATTATTCACACACATGACTGATTTTGTACATTTTTTCTTAAAATAGTAAACATCATCCGGGTTGTTAATAAGATGGTAATTTACTTATAAATTTTAGTAACTACTTAGGCCGAGGATATGATCTAATGATATTAGATGGTATTTATATACAGCACATGTTTCTTATAATGTATGTGTAATCTTTAGTAAAATCTTTCCAAAATGGCAGGCAGGAAGGGAAATGTAAAAACAATTTAAATCCATGGATGTTTAAATCATTTGGACATCTACCCTCTTTAAATTGTGTAGAATGTACGATCGGTTCACAGTATAAAGATGATGGTGATAAGGATCATATAAGAATTATGATGGTTTTATATGTTCATTGTCGCCTAGAAATTGATAATTTTGTTTAATTGCTTTTAGCACCTTGTGAAATCCTTATTTTTCACGTTTACTGTTTCAAGCTATTATTATTTACGACCAATGTCTACTCAGTGGTGATATTTACAAAAGAGCACTGAACTGCGAGAATCGACCACGAGAAAAATAAAATAAAAGATGATAAATGATAGTTTTAGGAAAGAGAAGGAATACACGCGGAGGGCCGGCGATGACCTCAGCTGTTTGTCGGCCCATAAACCATAAACCTTCCACTTTATATATATATANTAATGCTGTCTCTTGTAGAATTTTTCATGAAATTGGCAGATTCACTAGGTTTGAACAAAAATAGCGAACATACAATCTAATATAAAAGACACTTTTCAAAAAAACTCATAAGTTTTTTAATATTAAAGTATTCCAAGAAGTTGGCTCGTTTAAGGGAGTAGCGACCGCTTTTTGATCCCTAAAGTACATTTTGTTTGTTGATATTTTGTCACATTAGAGTACAATTTTTTCTAAATGGAATGAAACTTGTCCTTTTCGTTTCTAACGTTTAATTGTGCTTGAAATAATTTTTTATAAGTTGCGAATCAAATTGTGTTTGAACTTGCAACTCTCCATATCTTACGTTTGACAGGTCTAGTCTTTTTTAAAATATTCTGAGTTAAAAACTACTTTCCCAAATAAAACAACCTACGTGTAAAGTTTTTATTGTGTAAATTTGAAAGCAAAGGGGAAAATTTGAGCGCGATCAGAATTCTCCTGAAAGTGGTACTTTATCAACTTTTGATGCGCTTTTATCTTTTAACTTTTTTGATATTGTATGCGTATTGTCGTATAAGAGGCGAACAATCGTAGCCAGCAGAATTTAAAAACACTCAGGTTCGGTGAAATATTTTTTTGTGTAATCGAAAAGGTGTACAGTTTTGTCACAATTTTAGATTGTTGCCCAAAATTAACGATTCGTTGTTTTTAATAGTCCCTAACTACAAATTCGTAGTACACAAAAAAATAAACCACAAAAAATTAGTTGTATATAAGACAAATAGATTTAAAGAAAATGATACCCGAAAAATGCTGAAACGCGTTATTATTTTAGAGTTTCGTATTTAATCGGATCGTAAACTTTTTCCTGAAAAAAAAGTCCATCGAAATTAAAATCCATTGAATAGAAGTAGAAGTAGCACACAAAAGAGGAATGTTTGTTGGAAAATTGGTCAACATCAAAACAGAAAAAACAACCTCAAAGAAATAGAGCATTCTCTGAACTTGACAAGTTTACTAGATTTTGTGTAAGAAAACAAAACGAAAAGAAAATAGCACACATATAAACATAAAAACTTTAAGAACAATACTTCTTAAACAAAAGCAAATATTTCTTCCTTGATATTTTGTTTTGTTGATGTTGCAGTGCTTTTTTTAATTACTTTACAGCAGTATATGAAAAAAAGGAATATTCTAAAGTATTGAATCGAGAGTCTTGCCTAGAATATTCGAAGGACTTGTCAAGTTTACTATATTTTTAACAGAACTAAATAAACCATTATAATACGTAAATAAACTAAACTAGAACAAATCTCAACAGAAATAGCCTATAATTTATTTTTTTAAATGATATGTTTGGATGTAGAATATTGTAAGGTTGGCTCATCTGTCAGCTTTTTCCAAGAAAGTTTTCAAAAATAAACAACTACTAGATAAAATGACTGAAAAGAAATTTATTTTAAGAAAAGGCAGTACAAGTTTTTAATATAGAATATCTAAGGATTGATTGGTTTAATTGATTTTATGTAACAAAACAAAACGAAAATGGACAACAAAAAATACAAAAAGTAAACTTGTTAAACAAAAGGGAACATTTGTATTTTTAATGTTGTGTTTTGTTGCAGCAGGGTTTTTTACAAATTAATTTATCATAATATATGGAAAAATAAGGAATATTATAAAGTATCACAAAATATGGGATGGTAAATGTCTTTCGGAACTTTTTTCAACACCGCCTGGTGTCAAAACAAGGTTGTATCTTAAGACCTTTGCTATTTGCTTTATTTATTTATACTTAATAATTTGTCGGCATATGTAAAGTTTGCTGCAGTCGGAAACAAACTCCAAGTGTAACGTATATTGATGGCATGCTCTACTTTGACGTTACAAAAATTATACAAGATTTAGAAATGCGTCAAAATTAAATTGCCCTCATTATATAAAATATTATGGTCTTTTAAAATAATTAGTGCAATTTACAGCCAAATTAATGATAAAAATTTAGAGATAATTTAAATCTATAAATATGTGGAAAAAGCTATTTATTGAAATTTGTTTTAAGAATTTTCTAACGTAGGCTATTCGAAGGATTTGCTAAATTTAACTTAGACTACAAATGTAAACAAACCAATAAAAAAACAGAAAGCCTTGATGCTATTGTTGTGTTTTTAAATTAATTAATTATTAATGACGAGTAAATTTGCTAGTTTACTAGCTATTTTGGAAGACACTCTAAAAGAAACAGCTTCAAAAAACTATTTTTTGAAAGGATGAATTTCAAACGTAGAATATACTAAACACTAGATTTTTTCTACTAGACGAACGAAATCAAAATCAGCGCACATATAAACATAAAATGTACGTAATAACAAGTCGATGTATTTCATTAAAAAAAGAGGCAAATTGGTGAAATATATTGGCTTTGTTTAGCATATTTTTTGTGAATAGCGAAGTTCGTTTTAACTCGCCATAAAAGAAATATTTTCTAGTGTTTTCTGTGAAGTACTATCCACAATCAATTATTTTAACGAGGTCGGTGTGACGTTGAGGGGTTTTAAATTTGACAGAATCGCCCAGTGTCTTTAGCTCCGTGTTATTTGTTTTTCTACTTAAAAAAATTAAACTTATTTATGTCAAATAAACTCATAAAATTTACAAGAATAATGATTAAAAATAAAAAAGTTGCAATATGGTTACATTTTATGAGCGGTTTTTAATAGGAACGTGCCTGCTCATAGTAATAAACCGCTTTTAACAAAAGTTGCAAGCAAAAAAAAATCTTTATAGAAATGATAAAGGGGTGAATATGCAAAAAATTAAGGAATCTTTATACATAATTATGAACGCTTCACGGACTTTTGTTCTTGATGGCAAAACGTAAGCCCTGAACTCAAACCTATTCGGAAAATTATCAAAATTATAAATTAGTAATCGTGAGGATGATAAATATATAAATAAAATATGATTGGTGGGGGCCGGCGCAGGAATTCAAACTTCGTAAGTCATCCGTCGGCCGTTGTGTTCTCCCCTTGAAGTTACAGTAATTTTCAGCATTGAAAAAACAGTTCTTTTTTGTCAATCCCTTGCGCCTTAATACCTAAACGGGCCGATTAGGGACGAACGTCTTTGCTTCCGTGCGAAAAATACGAAATGATAGCATTCCTTCGTTGCCATTCACAATCGCTCCCTACAGTCCAAACGGAGCGACGAGGGGCCAAAAACCACGTCAATGGCAAAACTGAACTGGCGTGCCGAATATTCGACCGAGCCAAATTTCATCGAGCCAGTTCAAACATCTACGGCGCGACGATGGCATGGCGCGTGATGAATGGGAAAACTTAGCGTGAACGGTGGAATATTGGCTCGCTCGCTTGGTCGTGAATGGGACAACCCGCGTTTTTTTGGCGGTCTCCGTCTTTCTGTCACTGAGCAAACATCTCCGTCGTACACAAAAGTCAAAAATGTTTATTCTTTATTGGCAATGACATCCAATCGAGATTTTATTGTTGAGGTGATTGAATTGTATCAAATGTTTACCGTGTTTATGGAAAGTGGTGGACAATGATTACCACGATAGAAATAAAAGAAATTCGGCCCTCGACCAGTTGGTCGACCTTTTCAAAACAAAGGATCCAAATGCAACGAGAGATGCGGTATTGATAACTTCTAAGCGCTGAGCAGAAATCGTAGTAGAGAACGTTCTTCGTACTTCATCCCTGTAGCCAGAAATTGTAATGTGGCTGCCAACCTTTAATGTAGAGTGATGATTTCTCTCATGACTGTCTTTTGTTTTCTAATCAAGGGAATATAATAATAACAAGCAAGTAAATATAAATAAGACGTTTCATCCATTCTTAAATATTTCCTCCAATCAGCGGGTTCAAGGGAAAAATCTTTCATAAATTGATGTAGGTATTACGGCTTCTGTTCAGTAGCCACTTCTTACACCATTTCCTCGTCGGTTTTTTGCTTTTTATATATAAACAAACAGATATATATATATATATATATATATATATATATATATATATATATATATATAAACAAACAGCAGCTTAGCACAAGAGATCGTCATTCATTTTGAGGAAGTAATTCACTAGATGACGATAGACGACTGGCTGTGGAGCGATCGTGAATCCCCCTCAAATTTCAGGCACTCCAAATGGATCTATACGGCTCGGCGCGGTTCTATTTGGAGCGATCTTGAATGGCCACCTTACCTTCAAGATTTAGAAGTTATTTTCAGTATAATTTTCAATTTTCTTTTAATTTCAAATCACGGGAGTGAAATCCGCCAGCCGTTCAGATGGAACCTAGGTATCGTAATAATCTAAGACATCATATTATCCAGGACGTTGGTTATGTTGAGGGTTTAGGTGCTGCATTTCTGAGTACTGAAAAGAAGATTGGCGAGGACTACACACCCGTTCACTTCAATTTTAATTTTAATTCAATTTAATTTTAGTTTTTTTAATGATTTTCATTATTGGTTTCACCACACCAGCGCGCGCCCTAGCGGCGCCTACATTGTGCGTTATAACGTCCAACCTGTATTCATTCCCTACGATCAAAAATCCTTCGAACCATCGTCACTGTTCCTTTCTATCTATCCAATCTTAACATTGACAATGATCTTAATATCCAATACGACCGTGAAGTCGTAGTGAAAAACCACAGAAGTTTCACAAACAATTATCCAGTCACACAAGCCACGAAACCTTTCATCCCGCACCCTTCCAAACACTCATCATCAACCACTCAAGCGACATCGCGACCTCCTATATGTCAGTGAAAGTGATTAACGCTTATTAACAGAAGTAACTATTAATGAGAAGTTCCTCTTTTTTTATGTATATTTTTGTTTTGTTTTACTCTCTATGATGTTATCAAATTTACTTACTACTGGTAAAAAATAAAAAAATTTATTTTCAACTTATATTTTTAATGGTCACTATTGATTAATTAGAAAATAAATATCACCACAAGGTTTAAAGACAAATGAAAAACTTATCGTTGTTCTTCTTATTTCAGCAAATTAAAGGAAATAGGTGCTAAAAGTAATCCATGGATTTAAACGTCTCAATTTCCTAAGAGGTGGAAATTTCTTCAATTTGAACAATAAAAGTGAAGTAAACTCAGGAAAATGCTAACTCGTGGATGGGTTTTCTTTTTAATGGATATTGTTCGACTACAGTATCGCTTTTCCATTATTTTCAAAAGATCTAAAATTGCGATTAGTTTTGAAGATAAGCATTTACTGTAAACTGTTCTTTTTACATACAGCTTTGATTTCGAGGAATTTCAAGACACAGGAATGATACTTAAGTGAAATTCAATGATTGAAAATAGATTTAAAAAAATAAAAATTTAAAGAGTGTTGTTCTATTGTTTTTAAATCAGGGGATTCACTGTAGCCTTCGCAGTGATGTAAAAATATATGTGATTTTACTTAGTCTCTCCATTTAGTTGTACGAGCTAGAAATTTTTAGGTTTTGATTCTTTCCCTCGGGCCTAAAAAGTAGAAAATTTTCGTTAGTTTTTCGCTTTTAGACGGCGTTTTCAGTCGGTGGAGCGAGTAAGGATGGGTTGACCGGCGTCTTGAGCGCGTTGGCCGTCGATCCGTTGGACAGCCTTCCGCCCACGGCTCCCACCATCGTCATTGTCGTGCTTTCGCTCGCCGTCGATTCACGCTTCTTGTACGGAGCCACCTCGTGCTTCGAGTACAGCCTGGAAAGTGGTAAAACTGCGTCAGTTTAGCCTGAAATCGCTGGTGCGAGGCCCACTTCAATTACCTGATGCTTTCCGTCCTTGTGTTTGGCGACCAGTCTTTGCTGTACGTGTACCTCCTGTGGCCGATGTCACGGGATTCCTTCCAGCGGAGAAAGTGGTGACGGAATGTGTTCTGCACCTCCGTGTTAAGAAAGCAGTAGAACAAAGCCACTGAAAATCCCTGGAAAATGAACGAAAAAGTTATTTCGAATTTGGTATCATAAATACAACAATTAGTTGTACTTTTTAAAGGGTTATTTTTGTGCGCATAGTGTATAGCGTGTATAGCAGATGAAATTTCAATCGTTTTCTATTATATTTCCTTAACTTCTGCATTTGCAAACGCATGAAAAGTTGGAACTCGTCAAATTTTTTCCAGACATGAATCGGAACAGTTGAAACATTAGCTTAATTGAAAGTTAGCTACATTCTTCCACAAAGAGAAATAATATCGATAATTTAGATTGGAAGTGATATTCACGGACTTCTTCTATTTGTTTTTAATTCGCTTTTCTTTGCGCTATTGCTTGATTAGGAGATATTGCTTTAGGTTACAAAAGGGATTGACTGGATCTGTATGGCTGGAGAGGATTTTTATCGGCATCAGCAAAGGTAAGAATAAAACTAAAGGACAGGAGCAAAAACGCTACCTTGAGGAACTCCAGCTTTTACTGGATGGTATGAGAAAAGGGCAGTTCTTTCGCTAACAATGCCGGTCATCAAGGTTGCAGGTATGATTAGGTGATATGAAAAATAAATGCATTTTTAATTTTAATTAAGACCCAGAGACGCGGTCTTAGGCCTGCTCTAAAGAAATACTGCCGAGTAGTTCTGTTTCATTTCGAGAGAAGAAAAAATATGACGGAGTGTAAGCTAAAGCTTACAACCTAGTCAATATAGTAAATAAATAAATTATTATGTTTATGCAAGGTCTTGGCTGAGTTAAAAAAGTGAGTGTCACGAGCGGGATTCGAACCCACGACCTTCGGCTAAATACGCCGCTGCTCTAACCACTTGATCTATCGTGACTTCGATCCTCTCGGACACCAAATCTCCATCTCAACCTACAACCGTTCGAATTTTCCCTCTTTTTGCCATTTTCAAATGTGTAATCAGGATTCAACTCTCAGGGACTTATGAAGTGGTCACGGGGAGCTATTAGTGAAGTGATACTTCTTTTTCTTATTAAATATTAATCCATTTATGTTTTTTAGTGGTCAATTAACCAAGTTATTTTTTTCAATTAATTATTCTTTTTATTTTACCTCAACCAAGACCTTCCATAAAAAGAATAATTAGTTGATTGATGTAACTTGGTCAATTGACCACTAAAAACATAAATAAATAGTACATTAAACTGTCTGACTTGTATATACCCAGGAATATTATTGTTCCAAACAGTAATCTTGCAAGGGATGCTTAATTTCTTAGCATAAGCAATAAGCTCTAAAACCATACGCAGTGCAATAGGTAATCTCACAGGAGTAAACTGGGACCACAAGAAATTAAAACACCTAACCTGCAATCACTTTAACTTATTATTATTTTTAAGAAAAAGCCGTATGTTATTGTAGCTTTCATTGACGTGGAAATATCAGATTAAAAAAATTAAAGGTTCGTATTAGTGTAATGGAAAAATATTTGACGATAGACCCCTGGGAATAAAGTAAGAAAATAACGATTTCATTATGGACTCAACCGCGCCCTTGAATCGCCCAAGTAATTTCGTTTCTACGTTTCCGGTTTTGTCCAAAATCGACTCACTTGAGTTGAAAGAAGAATGGCCCTTATGTACTCGTAGATGTCCGTTTTAGGGCCGACGAGAAAAAAGATGTAGGTGACGCCGAGAAGTGGGATGAGGACGAGAAGTGCTTTCGATGCTTTGCGGTACTGTTGAGTCTCAACGTTGTTGCTGGATCTCAGCTTGGTGATGAGAACCTATAAAAAATGAAAAATTTTTAAGCTGAGTACAAGCAGTTCCGAAAAATAATTTTAAAATATAATGTTTAGTTAATTATTTAGAGAAACGATTTCCCGGATAAAAAAAAAATCAAGATGAAAATTAAGCATTAAGACATTAATGACCAAATCGCTATTTTTAATTACTAATGAATATGTGAAGATCGTGAATAAATAATTACATTTTATACTTAAAAAATATACAGTATACGAATAAAAACTAAAATAAAACTTTTAAAAAAGAGTGTGGTGATTAGTGACCGTTAATCGATAATTATTCAGAAATCGTGAGATGCGGTCTGGTGTGATGTAGGTTTCAGAGAAACATTTTCTTTATCGTGCCAACGTTTCGATCTTTATTGAGATCATCTTCAGGGCCCGGGATTTACAAACATTGTTTACATTTAACAAATACATTTAGGATGTGGAAAAGACTGCTGATAAGACGAAACAAGCAGTAGCAATCAGCAAAAAAGAGTACAAGGAAAAAAGTGACAAAATTATCACAGACACAAACACATACAGCAAAATCAAATCAGACCCTACTCCTTCTCTCATCAAACAGACAATCAAAATTCTCCAAGAAACACTTAAACGAAAAGAAATTGACACATAAACCTACAAATCACTCAAAACAACTCACCAACACCTCCGAAACTATATGGATCTGTAAAAACACATAACCCCGAACATCCTCTAAGACCCATAATTTCATTTGTAAACTCACCCACATAAAACATGACAAAATACCTAACCAACATACTCAACAACATCACAGATAACACATATAATGTAAATGATTCATTTCATTTCATTAACAAAATTAATAATATCCACATTCCCTCACACTCTCATATCCCTAGATGTTTCATCATTGTTTACCAACCAACATACCAATCGACACAACACTGAATATTAAAGATAAATGGCCCAACATAACACCACACACAACTCTATCAAAGAACACGTTCGTAACAATGATCCGACACTGCTGTGTTAACGGATACTTTACATACGACAATCAATTTTACAGTTATTTGGCATAGCCATGGGTAGCAACCTAGGCCCGATACTGGCAGACATAATAATGACACATCTATTAAATATAGTCATACCACAACTTCCTTTCACATTACTCTTCCTCACTAAATACGTAGATGATATATTGACAGCAGTTCCCACAGATCAAATTCAAACTACATTAGATACATTTAATAGCTTTCACCCACGCCTATAATTTACACATGAAATCGAAAACAACAAAAAAATACCATTTTTAGATACACTCGTAATAAAACAACCAGATGGCACATTAACCACAGATTGGTATCATAAACCAAGAAATACAGATCGCTACCTCAACTTTACATCTCACCATCCTTTTCATAAAATAATAAACACGGTCAAAGGGTTAGTTCACAGAATGATTACCCTAATCCATGAATCATTTCACCACAAGAACATAAAGATATACAAACAGATCCTCCATAACAATCTCTACCCTAAACGCATAATTAACAGAATAATCAACAACTACAACTCAACACTAACACCATCCACTATTACTAATAATACTACATTAAGTCTATCAAATACAAACAAACCAGCATACATTTCCGTGCCATTTATTCAAGGCCTATCACATAAATTAAACATATTTCTCTCGTCCGATAACTTCAAAATAGCTTTCAAAGATTATAAAACAATCCAAACACTTTTTTCCAAAATTAAAGATCCCACACCAATAACAAATAAATCTGACGTAATCTACAAGATCAACTGTTTAAACTGTCCAGCAACTTACATCGGTCTTACATCCCAATATCTAGACAAGAGAGTAAAGCAACATATCTATGATTGCAAAAAACCTAAGCAAAATCCTACAGCACTCGCTACCCACCATTTTGAACACCAACACAATTTCGACTTCAAAAATCCAAAAATATTACACACAGAACAAAACAAACATAAACGTAATTTCTTAGAAATGGTTTATATCAACAGAGATAAACACAGCATCAATTACAGAACAGATACATGTAAACTCAGTCGCAGCTACGCCAATATCATTAATCAAATTCAATACAGATAACATACCTATATCATCACATTACATTCCACACATCAAATATTTTTCACATAGTCTAATTTTCCAACAATTTAGCTTTCCTTTTCCTATTTATCCCTTTCTATATAATCCTGAAAGGATAATCTGGCCGAACCATTACCAACACATTTTTTCCCTTCGTCGGCTCTTTTCACCTCAAAGAAGCCGACGCCTTATACAAAAATGTCTTTTCTATACCGACTTCCTTCCCCACCCCTTCAAAATCCAACGTATATAAACATAAAACAGCAAAATCTCACTGGCACTCTCAACACGACACGCAAGAATGGCACAATTACACAGAAGACAAACACTTTGAGTGAGTAGAAATACTTTGATTGAATATAAAAAATATATTTTGCATTGTATAAATTCACTTTTCCACATCCTAAATGTATTTGTTAAATGTAAACAATGTTTGTAAATCCCAGGCCCTGAAGATGGTCTCAATAAAGATCGAAACGTTGGCACGATAAAGAAAATGTTTTTCTGAAACCTACATCACACCAGAGCGCATCTTACGATTTCTGAATAATTAAAAAAAAAAGTCTTTTGTGGAGCTGTAATTCGTAGTCATGTGATTTTAATTCTTTATTCAATAATTTTACTGATCTTTCTCTTATCTTCAAATATTTATCATAGGTCTATCTGTATAGTTTTTAATATATTTTAAAATTTGTTTCCATTTATTTCTAGTCAAATATCCCCTAGATCATCTCATCGATCACAAGTAATCAATGTATGTTTTATTATGTTGTTTATATTGTATTTTATTCACTGTATGCTTGCCTGTTCATCGGTATTACAAACTTTATGAAAGGTATTGGTTGAGATAAAAAAGTCAATGTCACGATAGGGATTCGAACCCACGACCTTCGGCTAATACGCCGCTGCTCTACCACTTGAGCTATCGTGACTTCAATCTCTTCGGACATTTGAAAAATGGCAAAATGGGAAAATTCGTATCTCATATCAACCCACCTTTCGAATTTTCCCATTTTGCCATTTTTCAAATGTCCGAGGAGATTGAAGTCACGATAGCTCAAGTGGTAGAGCAGCGGCGTATTAGCCGAAGGTCGTGGGTTCGAATCCCTCTCGTGACACTGACTTTTTATCTCAACAAATACCTTTCATAAAGATTAATCAATTGAAAAGAAGTTATTTGGTCAATCGGACCACGAATTATAATGGTTTTATAAACATTGAATTAACCTAACACACTTTCATCATATATTATCATTCCTCTGTAATTTTAAGGTTACGTTGTATAGACATCTAAGGGAAAGAAAAAAGTAAACCTGTAAGAATACAAAGAGTCAATATCTAGATTGAAACTGAGGCACAAAAACGCCTTGATGATTTTTAGGAACACGCAAACATTATTGTTTGGCCCAACAAAGCACCGTGGTCACTGTTTGAAAAACCTAGGAATCATCCTTGTAACCGAGTTATGTACATTTTCATTTGGTCGAGCTCCAATACAAATATTAAAATAAAGTGGGAAAATAACGAAATTGACTTATTAAATAAATTTAGCTGTAACATTTGTAAGCCTACAAAAGAAGTTTTGTTCTTTGTTTTCAACATGGGCTCTTTTTATAACCCAATGTCAGTAACAGGTTTTGCTACATTTACTGGTCCTAATTTATGTTAACAAGGGCAAAGGAAGAATTTATTCTTCCCGACTGCTCTTCCTTTTTCACCAAATCCTGAAAAAGCTTTGCTGTTTTTATGCCGGTCGGAACGAAATGAAATCAGAACCTGCGCCAAATTAGATCGACAACGTGGCAACGACCGTTTGAATGCCGAAGCATATAAATTTCTCATGTCAGTGAAGTTGTATAAAAAGGTTTCGTGTAAAAAAAGTGTGATGCGATATGAATAACGTGCCAGGATTAAAAAAAAATGGTTTTACAATAAAATAAAATTTTCATTTGACTTTTTTTATCGCGAACCAGCAAAACGGACAAGTTTACCTAGAGCAAATAATTACTTCGAGCTTGTAAACTGTTGGCAAAAGCAATTAACCGACCCCTTGCCCAGTTTACTTTCGATCGTGTATATGGCAAAGGCCCAGCTCTGGCCGGCGATAGATTTCCGAGTATTCGCAGACACACATAGTTTGCTCCGAAATGTCCGATACGGAAAACCGCAGGCCCTTTCAGAATTTCATCGGCGGCCTATGCCTTCGACGGGAAACCATTTCTAATTCTCGAGGAATCTACAAAGAGTTCGATTAGAGAAATATTTCCAAACCGCAATGGCTGAAATCCCTCGAATTAAATTCTCAATTAAACTGTTAGACTGTTGGAACGACACGCCAATTCCTAGTTTGCAGAAAATTTGGCAGGACTTCCCCAAGGTGTCATCCTAGGACCTAAACACCACAACACCAACAGAAATTTGACATGTCAAAAGTTAATGTACATTTTAGAGATAATGATTAAACATCTACAATTTAGAGGTTTCGGTTTATGCCATCCGATACCAATACTTTCTCCTCCATACTTTTCTCTTGATATTTTTACTCATTTGATACTTTTGGTGAGATATAACCAAAAATAAGTACATACATCCTCTCACATTTGTTGGCACATTGGAATTACAAGTCCCCAGACAATTAGCAATACCAGAGAGACTTTAGACATCACCGTACAATTGGTGACATCAGTGGGAACACAAGACATCCTTACAAATCTTTTAAGACCAATTATGTTACAAAATATCGTCACATTTGTTGTCACCAGTGAGATTATAAGAAATATTAAAACGATTGGTGAGCGACATTATTGGTATAACATGACATCCTCAAACATTTTTGATAACAGTGGGATTAAATGAAACCCCACACAATTATTGGCAAGTTGGATTA